AGAAATGTTTACGTATTGGACAGCATAATCGATTAACGAGATATTTCGATGCAGAGTTGAAGGCACATATTGGAAAAGCAGGGGAAGTATTCCTACAGTTGAAGAACATACGGAACTTAAAACAAGTCAAGATCAAAGTCGAAATCTTCAATACGAACGTAAGTCATTTGTATTGTACTGAGATGAAACCTTGAGAACTACCACAACCTCTATCAATAAAGTACGTGTATTGATAAAAATCTATCTACGTAGCATACTCCAGATCCGTTGACCGGATGCCATCAACAAAAACCTATTATGTTAGAAAACGACTTGGCATTCAGCTGAAAAAAACAAGAAAAGACGCTGGAGTTGGGAAGGACATCATCAAACTGCATCGCAATGCAGACTCTAGAACTACTTTATACAATAATATACGATTTTAAGTTAACTCGCACTAAACCTTTCTTATTATCTAGTTGCGTGAACAACGGTGTTTTTATACACACCATGACAAAGACACACGGTAGATATATTATTGATGTTAATGTCTCCACAAACACCCTTCCCGTCAATTATTCCTTTTTATCGTCTTTCCTATTGATATTTAGTCGTTTGTGAACATAGACGCTATCAATAAAATCCATATTACGGGAGGAAGTCGTTGCTACCACTTCCCACCATTAATTGTGCTGACATTTTCATTACTGCACATTGTCTTCATCCGCAAGTATCCTGAACGACTGTGCGTGTCTTGATTCTTTCCATCTAGTTGATGGTTTGTTTGTGGGATATATTAAAATTAATATTATGTACGCCAACACAAAACAAAATTCCTGATCACCAAATATCTGCCTTCAGTACTTGTGAAATATATAATCTCAGTCTATCACTATTTGACTTGTAGTTAATCATTATCAAACTGCGTCTTAAATTAAGGATGTAAGATGAAACCAACAGCAGTATCATGCCATAGAGTTGATAGTTAATGTTACTTCTTGAGAGCAGGCAATAAGTCGTCATCCACTGGACAGACAAGCATAAGGAAATACCATAATAACCTGAGAAGTCGTTGAACCTGCGTGGCAGTATGTTTTACTCACTTATATAGTGGGAATGACGTTATACACATACAATATCGAACGGATCACTACCCATGTATATTTGTATATCGATAGGTGTGTAATGAAAGTGCTGCATACAGTACAAGGTGAATAGGTCACTAGTGTTCACTATATTCAAAGGTACTAGTTCCCGGTAGACAAATCATTCATTACTCTGACGTCTTTAAGAACAGTAAAATCATGTCTGGGATTTCAGGTTCCTGATTTTCAGCGATGTCGGAACAAAATTAATATTACTAAAAACTAGCTGGACTGCTAGCAGCCACTTCTCATTGTTCTTATATCCAGATAATTGGTCGGAGTACAAATTCAAAAGTTCCCAGAGATTTACTCCACTACAGTTCAGTCATAACGTTTTCCAGTCAGATATCAATTTCCCATGACTAACTGAAAAATTAAAGATAAATTATCAAATAGATTAAAAAACAGGTACTGTTAAAACATTTGATAAGATTACATTCAAGCTCAGTTCTTTTTACATAAGCTAACATATGAAAAAAATGTGTGAGAGCCATCAAGATACCATGTTTCAGTCTTAGTTAGGATCAGCAACTTCCCCCACTAACGAATAGTGATCACGTTGTATTTTAAGTTTCGGGTACACGGTGAAAAATATATATCTGCTCCACCCTGTCACAATACCTGGAGATCTAATATTCTGGCAACCAGATATTTTGATATCTCGAGTGACTGGTCAGTCGATGCGGAATGATCGATGGAAGACAAATGGAACCAGTTGAAGGCTACATTCGAGTCCGTAACATCACCGTTTATCTCATGGTCAACACGCAGTCTCTCACATTGCCCTCCATGGATTAATAAGGAGATCCGAAAGTTGTTGAAGCGTAGGAAATAGTTCTGGGAATTATACGTCTCAACAGGACACGAACAATTTAAGTGTGAATAGCGAAAAATCCGGCATATATGTAGAAAGACCATAACTACATGCCGTATTATTTACGAAAGACAGTCGGCATATGATAGCCGTACATGTCCTGAACGACTGTTTTCATAAGTTAAATTGAGAAAAAAAGCGTTGTGATGGTCTTCCCCCATTAAGGTTACAAGAAAATTCAGATTTACTAGCTTAACCAGATGAAATGGTGAGATCTTATCAAACCATGTCATTGAAATCTACTCTACATGTGTCGTGAAAATATTTGAACTAATCACACTGAGATACTAACCATAGGACCTGTATATGTGACTGATGAAACTGTTCTTCCACTCATCACTAACCTCAAACCCAGTAAGATACCGGGCTGTGATGAGTTACATCCACGAGTGACATAATCTCTTGAAGACATTATGTCGAGACCACTCGTGATGCTCTTCAAAATGTCCCCACCACTCGTCAAACTCCCTAGCGATCGGAAAGATGCTATGGTCAATCCTATATTTAGAGATGTTCAGAGACAGATCGTATCTGATTATCGACCTGTCAGTGTAACCGGCATAGTCGTTAAGTTACTTGAGGAGATAATTCGGGCTAAGTTACGAAGTCACATAGGTTCGTGCAACCTGTTAACTCCCGAGCAACACAGGTTTCAGAACAAGCACTCATACTTGACTAACGTACTTATTGCAAGAGAAAATTAAACAGAAGCCCCAGATCACGGTTTGTCTATTAATGTGATATTCACAGACTTAAGCAAAGTGTTTAACACAGTTTCACACTTAGATCTTATACCGAAGCTCGAGAGCTTCGGAATAACAGGTGCTATGCAGGAATGGATAGGAAACTTCTCATATGACCACAGACAGAGTTTGAGTCAATGGAGTGCTATCCGAATGGAAGATGATCAAAAGTGGTGTACCCCAAAACACCATCCTGAGTCCCCGACTGTTCCTTCTCCATGTCAACGAATTACCACCACTGTATAAGTCGTCGAGATTATTGTTTGCGGATGATTTCAAAAGCTGTACAACAATAAGCAGTGAGGCTTAAAATTTTGATATCCAAGCTGACTTAGACGAACTAGTTAGATGGAATCGATATTAAGACTTGAAATTGAATTGTGACAAGAGTATGCTCATGAAAATCGGACATGGTCATGGTTACCATTATACTATTGATGGTACATCTCTTCCACACATTCAGGTTACCGTCAACTGTATTTATAAATTTACGTAAACCTGCCAAAGCAGCTACATCGGCCGAACTGAAGGGAGAGCATATCTTAGATTCTTTGAACATGTTCCAAAAAGTCTTAGAACAAGGGAAAGAAACACTCTGAACAGTGCAATCACCAAACATCTCCTTGATACAGGACATCAGGTAGATACCTTACAATCCTTTAGAGTGATTAGTAAGCAGCCAAACTCCAGTCTTCTGAAGTTTGCTGAAGCCATTGCCATCAGGCGTCAAAAACCTGACCTATGTATTCAAAAGGAGACGGTGGTTAATCTTTCCTTACCCTGGTGACAAATATTCCTTCACTGCACCATAATTTTTTTTCTTTTTTCTTTTGCATTTATTACATCATTGACTCTATTTTATTTTTTCAACTATCTTTCAAATTAATAATCTTTCAACTGAACTCTACTCACTACATTCCTTCAATGTTATTCATTATGTAATCGATTGTTTCTAACCCACTTTTGAACTGTTGTCACAGTTAATGTTGTAGAATATTCCTTCACATTAGGTATATATTTACAATATTCAGTTAGCAATTTGAACCCATTATGTATTTATGATTTTTAAATATCAAAGATTGTAAGCAGCTGACGAGAACCTACGAAATAAAATGAATTCATGCTATTCTGCTAGAATCCTTGTTCTTGCTCTTTTCAAAAGATTGTAGCGTGGCGTCGAGTTGAGATTAACTGTGAACACCGTACCAAGAAACACGTGCCAAAATAGATCAGAAGGCGTAAGAAGCTCGTTCCAAATGACTCCATAAAATCCCCGAGAAGCCGAATACCAGAAGGCAATTAATGGACCAAGTCGAGGTTTATTTGCTGGCGATCTCGTGGCATCGAAAGGATACCGAGATCGTGCCAGGATACAACCTTGGTTACAGAAGGTAACCGAATTCGCGCGAAGTTACAATCGAAGTGTAAGTATAAGAATGGAAGCACAAAATAGCTGTCATTAGCACAGTCAAACAAAAGCACATTAAAACAGTCACTGGTACACTTGGTTATAATAATAAGCGTTTTTATTAAACCAGTCGTGTTCTCGTGATAAACGTGAGTCACTACAAGATAAAGACTAAAGAGTAAAAATAGGTCACGACTTGAAAACAACTACGAATCACAACGCAGCAGTCACCAAAGATTTTCGTGCGTTACGACCACTTTGCCGAGCATTCAAATACTTTGACGAGGAGATGCTTCGACTTTTATATCCGACCTATGTAAGATCACACTTAGAGTACTGTATCCAAGCATCTGACCGATGTCTGACTAACCATTCTAACTCACTTGAGCGTGTTTAGAGTGTAGGAAAAAATCAGTGGGAGGTCTTTCCAAACCCCTTCACGATGAGCGCTTTAAACGCTTAAATCTTTTCATCTTGTCTTATTGTTTTACACGAGGTGATCCTGTATTGGCATTTCGTATCTTCAATTACGATTTGAGTGTTAATATGTCTTATCTTTTTGTTCCTTCTAGCATTAGTATTATCTGAGGTCATAACAGGAAGGTTCACAAAGCGCGATCTAATCAGCTTAAAGTGTGGTTCTTTTTTTCTCATCGAGTGGTCAATGACTGGAATCCCTTACCCGAACAAGTGGTATCAGCCTCATAAAGAAATATTTTCAAGGTGAAGCTGGAATTTCACTGGAGGGCAAATTGTCAGGATTAGCATAGGTCCACTAACCTTCTATCCCTATTAATGAAGACTGAAATATGGATGACTAATGGCAACGCCACAGTGACCTTGAGGAAACATTTAGGTCAAGTAAGGGGTGCGACTATAATTTATGGACGAACCAATCACGTATACGACAACAGGTTTCAGATTTTGGCGCGAGGTTTTACTCATTTGGCTAAATAGTCTTGGCACTATAGCTGATGTCCGTTCGTGATAAAAACCCTAAATCTAATTCTTAATCCTAACCATCAACTTTATATCATAATCCTTATTCTTCAAACTGCTTTATAACCCTCATTTAACCATAGTAAGTAGGTGAATTAAACCCTCTTTGTAGTTTACAAAATTTGAAGTCCAGCGTCATCATCACAACTTTTGCTTACAGGCTTCAGAACAGTATTTTCTACCGGGAATGTTTACGAACGAAAGTATCAGTAGGGCTGTAGCTCCGACCCAATCTCCAAAGTTTGGGGAATTTCGGGTAAATGTTGGTAAATTTTGGGGAAATCCACTAAGTCAAATGATCTTCACCAAGGTTAAAGGAGGATTTTGGAGAAATATTGGTGAATTTCTCCAGATCTGGGGAAATTTTAGGGTTTTGGTTCCATTTCCTCAAAATTCCCCCAAAGTTTACTGTAGCGGCTTCCCCAAAATGGGTCAAATTTTCCCCAAAATTGGGATCTCGGGGATATATCGAACCTTCTAGACAATATCCTCTTATCGGAAGATTATAACAAATTAAAGCAAGCGACTATTTAGCCCACCTTGGTGTCTAACCAGAAAGTGCTAAAAAAACTACCGAACGAGTGCGAGCTAGAATATAGGCTGTTGAGCCAAATATTGCGAGAGATGGAACAGTTTATTCGATCTTGCAAAGCTGACGATGCTTTCCTAAAACCAATTTGAATGCACCTCTCACCATTGTCAGTAAGACAAGTCCTTTGCGTTTGGAGCCAGCCTTTAGACTTAAAAAATCTGACTGAAATGACATAAAACTCAAGAGATAACCCCCAGTAATACTCCATTCATATGACGTCACTAATGTACAAAGTGCTCCTACAAGTTGTAGTATTGTGTTGCCGGTGATAGAGCTAGCAGATCTTCGGAGCCAATATACAACTAATTACCTGACCTAACACCTAAGGTAGCTTCATTACAACTTTCTATATCTGCCTTATCTGGAAAAGGGCGTGGTGACCCTCGGAACCGAAGCGACAGATGACCTCATTAAGGAACACCAGTATTCAAGGTGCATTTCTGTCTGTATCACAAAATATGGTAAGTAGGCTACGAAATGTGTTACCATATGTAAATCCACTTTCTGCATGCGAAAACATGACACCAAACAGTAATGACGACAACCGTTATCGATCAAAAGTCTAGTCCTACGTGCTGGATGGAATTTCAGACTTTCTAGTTGACACCGGAGCTGTAGTCGGTGTAACCCCAGACACGCTAGCCAGACTACATATACATAGCAATAAATAGTCATTAAGTGCAGCGAGCAAAACGGAGGTTGAATATTCGGGGAGCAAGCACTCATTTTGGACCTCGGAGTTAGACATCAATTAAGTTGGGATATAAAATTCAAAACATTTCTTTTTAAGGGTGTTGCTTTCAAGTCATGGCTTACAATTGCACTTCTATCTTTCTGTTATGGAACCTTCGGAAGTGTTTTTCCCTCCGTACTACGAAGATTGTTGTGTGTGGTCTAAGTTCATACTCCTTTTTCAAAGTTTATTCCTATGGATGAACTTTCAAACCACCTTACCAATTCGTCCAAACCAATTTAAAGCTCTAACCTTTCGGAATCACTACATATTACTCTTTAAATGTTTATATCATTAGCAAGTAGAAGTGATGATTTAAAGTTTTTGAAATTCGTTGACGTAAAGTAGCCATATCAGAGGACCAAAAATAATACTTCGAGGCACTACATTGTATAGGCTTCCATCTGGAAATCACCCATTCAGTCACTTTGTCTTCTCACATATAAGGAGCTTCTCATCCAGTCCTGCGTTTTCCTCCTTTTTCTTAAGTTGGAAAGCCTCTACATAAGTCCTAAGCTAGGCACCTGATCAAATTCCTTGCTGTGGTTCTTGAATACTACATCGTCAGACAGACTGGAGAATTCTTACTAAATGTAAATCTATTTTTATTATTCGTATTATGTAATCTAGTATTATAATCTTTCTATTACATCATCTTAGTTATTTGTGTTCCCATTTCCTCACGGAATTAGTACTTCAACAAAAAGATTCTCATATATATACGATTGTACAGTTTGATAATAAATTCGTCGAAAAGAGATCCTTTCGCTGAACTTCATGTTTTTAATTTTTAATGTTTAAATGGGAATTATCTGTCAATTTTGAATTCTATCTGTTCACCGGCAGTAGCCATCCAAATATCACTGTATCTGACACTATTCCCGTCAGTGTTTCGGGACCATTTTAACGATGCAATGACTTACTTGCTGCACTGCTTTTCACTGAATATTTATATGTATCATTATTAACATCATTACATTAAGTGTAAAATAGGCAGCCTTCCATGGTTATTATTTGTTTATTTGAGCACATAAATATTGGTACAAGAGGGCACCAAATATATTTGCGCCACACAAAACCTTCCATGGTTGTTTTTGCTCGTACCTAACAGTATTGTTTTTTTTCTTTAGTGCTCTGTTACTGTGTTACGGCGAACGACTGGATATCTAACTACATAGCAGCTGTGTAAAAATCCAAAACAGTTTGGATGTCGTTTGATTCGGAGACCTTTATCAATATATCTCCAGTTTTTATTCTTAATAAACAAGCTCATCTGCTTAAAACAGATTTATCCTGGACTTGTGAAGATAGTGGTCCATTCCATAACAAAGTGTTTCGCGTTAGTGTCATTGTAAATCACCATAATCTAAAAAGCTCTGAGATATATTATGGTGTTGGAAGTAGTGTCAAGGAAGCTAGACGGATGGCTGCTGAAAGTGCTTTACAAACTTGTATCTTATTTAAGTATAATGCTAGTTCAAGTATTGGGGCTCTACGCACTGGAGGACCGTTTACAACACCGCGAAATGTAAGTCTTGCAAGGATTACATTTTCTAATTACTTCCTTAAGTCAGGTGTTTAGCAATTGCTTAGTAATTAAAGTTCTGCACTTTTAACTATTATTTCATATGCTTGAACTTGACTACTCTTTCTGGTTTGGCCAGAAGCTCAGTGTTACTGACTCATAAATAATAATGGTCCATAAAATCGAGTACGTGAACCCATATCAGATGAATTAAGTTACTTTAATCTTAAATCAATGACATTATAATTCATGTATTCGACATTTGAATGAATTATTAATAATTTGTTTGTTATAAATTTATCACAAGAATGTCTTTATGCTTTCTTCATACTTCATATGTAGGCCGATCCTTTCATTATTTTGATTAATTCTGATCCAACATCTTTAGCTCCAAAAGTACAGCTCAGGCAACTGCTTAATTTACTTGGATCAAAAGTGAGATTTGTTCATTCAATGGGTGATGCCAATAATAGTTTGGTAAGAAATATTTATATTTTGTGTCATTGTTTATATCTGTCAAGTTATTGCAGTATATTTACCACTTTACTTGTTAATTTGTCTTAGAAAGCAACCATCTTGACGGACACAGTTCTGTCTAACGAAAATTTTCGTCAATACTGTTGTGACGTCTTACTTTTCTGAGGTCCACAATATATTCTGTTCATTCTGAGATTTTCAAAAAACCTATTCTCAATATTCATATGTATGGAGTATCCCCTATCTCAGAAAACTAATTTAATGGTTCACCCTCCTGCTTATAAAATGTGTTAGTTTTGGGAAATTTGTGACATTAACTCCATCAAATTTAAAATTTTAGAATATTACCTCTAAAAAGCACTAGTTGAGTATGCTTTACAAAAGATCAAAGTTTTGTTCACTCCTGCTTACTTGATTCATGAGCCTGTGCTAGATAATTATTTACTAGGTTTTAAATTATCAGCGTCGTTTTTCGGTTGTCATCAAAATATACAACTCACTTTGGTTAAATTAACTTTGATATTCATATTTGTGTAAAGTGATACAATTTGTCATCATATTATTTAGTATCTAAAAGTCACAGAGATTATGAATCAATGTAATTGGTTGGATGTGCTTGTGGCGGAACGAGTTTTTGTTTTACAGTAAGTTCGGTGTCCTCAACTAATTTCAAGAATGTAGTAAGTTTGACTGAATTTGACAGAATGCTTCATTCAGTTGGTTTTAATTCTCTAATAATTAGTCTCCTGTCATTATGTCCTGAAAATTTCAAATGTAGTTTAGTGATGATTTTAAATTCTTAATGATTTTGTTGCATTATCGGGATATTTCAGTGTCATTTTAAAAGGTATGTTATGCCAAAAGTCATCAGACTCGTCTAGCTATACAACAAACTTATAATTGAATAAGTTGTCACACGGATTTTGACTTAATTATCATGATCGAATACAAATTTTATGTTGATATTTAACCTTATTCATACTGCATACTTTCTAATGGATATAATTTTAAAGTAGAAATCAACCACAGACTTTCTAAGAATTTCTTTAATTCGATGTAAGTCCTCGATTTTTCCGAAATTTTATTATGCTTTACACTTGTTAAATGAAATTGTTTACACAAAATACTTATGATTATTTAAGAAAAGTATAGTGTTTGATTTCTGGTTTGTAAATGAGTGAATTTTGCTTTTTGTGTTTCTGTTTATCTGATAGCGTCCTATCATGTATAGAGCGACAGCGGAGATCGTTGGTCGACAATATGTTGGAAATTCAACCACCAAATCAGGTGCTGAACAAGAATCATGTTTATCAGCTTTAATGGTACGTATATATATGGTTTGATCAATGCGAGGATAATTACCTTTGGATGTTTTGAGGCTGCTACGTTGGTTAAAGGTTTTTATCACTTAACATTTATTGGTTTTATTGTACCTGATATGTATTTATATAACCATGCTGGTATACTAATATTTTTAGTCACATTTTATCTAGCATTATTGTTAGTGCCTGACTGTTTGTCTTGTAGGAAGTGAGCAGTGTTAAAAATAGAGATGACAAAGAATAGGGAAGTTTAAGATCTTCATTACCGTCTCTAAATTGTTTTTACCACTCCAACTTTATCCTTTCTTTATAAAAATTCCATCAGTTCCCATAAGCTACTTAATAAGAGGATGGGTTAAATTACCCTATTTGTTTGTTGCTGAGTTATTTAGTGAAGTTAACGAGGGATTTTCATATCAGGATTTAATAATCTGTTGCGTTTTAACAGTAATTTGGTCGGGGGGGGGCATTTAAAATAGAAACCGAATGTATTTCTTGTAATTGACTGAGAAGCTTAGTTTGTAAGGTAGGATAAAAAAATTGGGACCAAAGAACGTTTCCTATTTTCAGTTTATTGCACCAACGTCGTTAATCATCACTAATTGATGTTTTAAGTTCAATCTGAACCTTCTGTTTGGACTTCTAGTCACTTAGCATGTGGTACACGGCTTTGAGCTACACTGCTTTTCTGGGAGTTAGGGATACTTTTTGACCTCGTAAACTGCAGTAGAATGGAGTAGTAGGGTTTAAACATAGGTCCTGTTGGTTGAAATCCAAATTTCTTAACTATTAATCTGCCATGTACGCCCCCTAGGTCTATTTCTAGACTAATTAAATTAATGTTACATCTTGTAAACATAATTAATGGGGTTATCGGCTATGGGTAAATATGTATCCTAAATATCTAAGGTGATGTAGCTTTTGAATATTGTCGGATAAGTAATCCCTGAATGTTTTATGTGTTGTGTTGTGATTGTTGCGTAGATACTATTAGAAATGACCGTCCAGTATAGTATTATTTCGTCTTGACAATCCTGAATAGAACGAGCTATTATACTGTACATCGTCATAGAAGTTGCAAGTGATTTAATTTTTAGAACGCCCCTATCTTTTATCGCCTACGCCATGTTTACCTTTATATAGCTAATCATGGCTTGTTCGTCCAGTTGGAGGAAATCGTCCAAACTATTTAGGAAGTCCACTCTGAACAATCTATCAAATTTGGGTCAATAACTTCAGTGAATTGTTTTCACCACTTATAGTTAAGAATCTATACTGACTGGTCAAAATTGTCGTTAGCAATATCTTCATGAATACTTTGTCTTAAATAAGAGTGCGACTAGTAGAAATCAGTGATCATTACCTTATTGTGATCAGTTTAAGATACCACTTCGCCTATTTCGATTCATTCCGTCAATCCTAATTATCGACTCAACCGTACTAACATTTTGAATACCCCAGATCCGAGAAAGTAGATTGTTTCTGAGAACAGTTCTAACGAAGTATCTATTTGAAGTAAAACTATGACAAAGTAAAGAATGGAAGCTAAACTTATTTCTTCCTGTTTAAGAATCTACATTTTGAATGACTTGTATGAAATTCCTCATCCTATTGTTGCATAGTGTAAAAAATCAATTACATAAAACTATACTATGAATTGCTTTACAATTGAATCTATAGGTAGATAACATCCTCAAATAGATGATTTTTCTTAGTTTTAGTTATGTAATTGCATTTATCCTTAAGGAATGAGGGTAATGCTAGAATAAAATGAGAAGTTTTGAACCTCTTTCATGTTCCATGCTAATAATTTGTTGATCTGTCGGATCTTTGTCTCTTTCTATACGTTAGTAAAACTTGTCACCTATATGATTTATTTTGTAATAATTATTGCAGTTAATAAAACTAGTTTTTATGATCATTAATGTAGGCTCTTCGTCGGTCATTGTTGTCTTACATCAAGACTCAGAAACTAAGGAAAAAAGAACACGATCACGACAATATGTACATTAATCGGTGTATTCATCCAAAATCATCAGTTTGGAGATTGCGCATTCTCGCTGGTCTACATTTCATTCAGCCACTTTTTAAGGTGAAAAGAACACTTTTAATGCTTATTTCTTTTTAAATAAGTGTCCAATTTTCTTACATTTTGGTTTGTTTTGTCAATCAGTTTCATTTTTTCCCAAAAATTACGCATAGTCTTTTTTCATTCTGCGAAATTAACACAGTTTTACATACGAAAGGCATGAGAAGCAGCTGTATTCACAATCCATGTATGAGAGGATTATTTGAAGTATGACCACACTACATGACAAATTAACGTTCATTACACCACACGATCAGAAATTATTAGAAATGGAACTTGTTACTGAATATTAACAAGTAGTATAAAACAATATACGAATGAGTCGGATGAGGAATGAAGCAAGAGAATGCAAATGAAATTAACAAATATAACATGCTTAACTTTTATCTTTGTAGACTTGCAACTATTAAGAGACAAATACCTACTGCTCCCTATTTTCAAATTCTTCTTTACTCGATATGAATCTGCAGTTGTAAAAACCGTCTTCAAATTGAACAAATATCCTACAAAACTGGATAACCTGTACTGTATTATTTTAAAGGAACGATGTTTAAAGCTTGAGATATTTCGACAAACTTTATTAGAACGTTTTATTACTGTTTTAGTGCTAACAGTCATACTGGCAAACACTACCACTGGTACTTGGTTTTTCAGATTCTTCCGAGTCTCAATCCTTGCTTTAATACGGTTACCTTGGAATAGGTGCTTTATTTGTCTCAATTTATCTAAATATTTATGTTATAGCATTAGGGTTGAATTATTTACTTGTTATTCTCAGATTCAATAATCTTACTGTTCTTTAAAGAACTAGGTTTAGATCAAATCAAGTGTTTATTATTGCAAAGCATACAAAACCGGAGGTGCATATATTACAATATAATTAGTTATTGATATAATTTATCATACATATATTTATCTCCATTCCCTAATCAGTCACAGGTTACTTTGGTTAAATATATCAGGTTGAAAACTAATTAAGTTGACGCTCATGATAAATATAGTAACTTACAAAGATTCATACGAAACTGACAAAAAGTATAACAACTCACTAATGAGCAGCAATTTCTAAACAAATATCAAGTTATTTTAGATTCCAATTTTTGCATGTCAAATACGAAGTTAAAAATTCATTGAATCCTTTCTATATATCAGTGGTAAGTTTAGTTCTGAATGTGTTCTAACATATTTATAATTCGTAATGGACATCACGTCATGAACTTCGATTACCTAATTCTTAAGAATTTTGACTCTGGAATACTTATTATTATTATGTTATCTTGTAATATTAGGGTTTACAGAATTCATTAGAGTGAAATATATTGTTTAGGACCCATAATAATACTTACATTCTCTCAGGTAAATCTGTTGGATCTTAACGTTAGATATCATATCAGACGGTCGTTTATCGGCTAAAGTACTTGATTTAGAGCTATTCGGTTTCAGCGTGAACCTTGTAGGATTTAATTTGCCTACAAATAAATAGTCCAAACAAGTCTTAATACTGTTACATATAGAGTCTTAACAGGTTTATGATCAAACCAAGTAACTATGTATATTTACCAACAGTGGTGATCTATTTCTAAAACATAAATCAAAACAGTCAGTACAAAAATGTAGAATAATATGTTCAGTTAAAGACAAATTAATAAACACACTCCTACTTAACGACAGGCAGGACAGGGTAAAAATAAATCAATAAAGGGACTAGTCATGTTCATAAAAAGGAAATAATTTCACGATTGGTAGTTAAATAAAAAAAAGATAATAATAGTAGTAACCAGTTTTAGAATAAATGAATCTTAAGTGATGAGCATTTAACTTAAATATTATTCGATGATCCAGTTTAATCGATGGGAATCAACATTCTCCACCCTCCTTATTTCAATTTATATCACGAGATAGCTTCACTAATCGTTGCACACGGAAGTATTGGTCGATTCCTAACACATCAATCTTTGTTTAATGAACAAGTTAGTTGCATCAGATATATGATTCGTTTTTTCTGGGTTCAACTTTACCGTTGACATTTCAAGAGAGCACCAAATCAGATTACTTGATCGTTCTAAACTGTTTAGTTTAGTCATTAAATACAAAAACAGTTTTGAAGTCTGAATATTTTTACCTACTATTGCAGGTTTAATTAATAGATATTTTAGAAACAGTTAATCAGGAGCATTTTATTTAGTTTTCATACCTAGTGGCATTTTACAGCTGACTACATCTAAAACTACGAGGCTACTGATCCCTTCGTTCAATACAAAAGGCTTTTCTACTATGATCTACTCTACATGCTAGAATTTGATCCAAACTATATATCAGTTAATGTAATACTTCATTTTTCAGTGAAGTTATGTAATATTATTTAATACCGTGATGCTTTATAAAATCTTTTAATATTGATTGTCTCATTCGTGTTCGTCAATGCTGTTTGCAATCATTTTTATCATTAATTAATTTCTAATATTATTTGTACTTCTGCATATGTTGATTAGATCCAAAAGTTAACCAATTGTGAACCAAATAAATTTACGTGTATATGTTTATTAGATGGTTGGAAGTATACTGAAAACCGATCTATCTCAGCTAAGAAAGCACAAAATACTGCTGCTCAATCAATGCTAAATAATATGAATAAAATTGAGAACAAATTCTCAACAGTTCCATTTTATGATAAACAATATGATGTTACATCAAAATATGTTCATAAACAAAATCATAAACCATGTAAAGTATGTTTGATTTTCTTAAAATAAATAATCAGCTATTCTCTTTTAAATAGATTGTGTTCCAGTTTTAAGTATTAGTACAGTTATATTTGTTTTACTAGATGCTTTGAGGTTGTCAGTCCAACTTCCACAATGCAACAACAGTTTTCTCAACAATGAAAAAATAATGCAGAGTTTTCTATCGACTAGTTTTAAATCTAAGTACTAATGTTGAGAAACTTTTAGTACTGCAGTTAGTGAGAGAGGTTTATAGTTTCAGAGTATTTAGACCTAAACATTTCAATATATTTGTAACGATCATTATTACGTTAGGGATTTCCGTATTTAATTTTCAATAGTTGATGTTATTTCCACCTTTGAAATTATTCATTTCATCATATATGATTATTTTCAAAGTCCTAACTAATGCTTAATGGAGTAGTTTTAATTAGTTCGAATAAAATCAAGTTATACTCACATAGATCCTGATATTCTTCACATAAAGAGATTTCTACATTTTGGATTAGAATCTGAAGTGAAATGTTGTAAGTTATTCATAAAATTATGAATAAGTTTCGATAGAACAATGAGAAGACGATGATCTGGAAATTGTGATATATTTGCGCCTTTCATTTCAAACAATCTGGCCACACATATACTTATCAAGTCATTTTATTTAAAAATTAATAAAGGTAATTTAAATGAAGGTACAATTAAGCAGAGTAATAATTGTAAATAAAGGAGAGATAAAACTAAAATTGTATAAAATGAATAGGAGATTTTTTACATTACCCTAGGTCATAAAATGACAAGGGCTACTAGGGCAGATTCAAGGTTACGACAAATTGTTTTTGTACACATGGAGGGACTTTACATTTACGAATAGCCAAGGCTTCTATAAACCTGAGAATTCGTCCTTGACAATTTCTATACAACATTTTAAAAGTTGTATTGATATCAATGCTGTGCTCCGTTTCAATATTGTGCTTTGAGATCGATGAAGATGGTTTTCTACTTCCCACGTTTATCGGAACAGTTGACATTAACTGATTTTGAAGCTCCGTGACTAACATTCGATGTATAAGTCAAAACATTACTAATATGAATCAGAATGCAATATAATCTGGATTATTATTTCTTACAAATTCATCATTTGTGTTCTTTGGTGGATCATTATATTTTCAATAAGGGATTTTTTGTAAACAAAGAAAATGTAAAATCATTGATAATTAGAGGCATTTAGTTATACAAAAAAAGATTTGTTTCTATCTTACGCCAGTTTTACTCGTTCAAATTATTTAATTTTGAATATATACATTATTACTTTCAGTTCAAACTACAATTTAATCAACATCGTGCTTTTGATGAATCAGTCCATCCTGTTTGTAGATTGGAATGTTACAGCATTGTTAATAACTTGGATAAAGTAAAATATACATTATTAAATGATCAATTACCAAGTGGAGAACATGTATCTTTAGCACCTGGTCGTCCTCCATTTATCTATCAGGTTAGTAGATAGTTGGAAAGTTCCCCAATATACAAGGCACCCATGATTATAGAAGCTGTAAAGTTAGCAATGTCGTTTAATTTCATGTTTTCTGTTTGTTGATTGGTGAATACCAATTTCGATGATAAATAGATATTACGGTGAGATTATAATCTATGGACGACCTATGAGCAACATTAAAATGACATTGAAAGTGCCCATCTACTTTCTAGTGTTAAATGAGGGTTATAAATTAGCGCGAGGAACTAGGATTGGGATTTACAGTTGAACGTTAGGGTTAGAAACTATATTCAATGTTTTCATCACGAACTGACATCAAATATAAAGCCGAAATGATACTTAGCCAAATAAGTGGATAAATCTCGCGTCAAAATCTAAGACCTGCTGTCTTATGTCTGATTGGCTCGTTCATATATTATAGTCTCGCCAATATTACCTATTTTTCATCACATAGCAGTTACATAATAATTTTCCATGCTAATACATCTCGCTATATATTTTTCTGGCGTTTTTTAATGACTTGTTAAATCGAATTGTGACAGGTTTTATCTTCATAGAACATGCTTGACGTTTATTAAAATCACTCGATTTCAAACAGAACAATAATTTCATTCAACATTAACTAGCATTCATGCCTACATGTTTACATTGTTCAAATTCTGCTTGTTTTTAAAAAATTCTTTACATTCCATTGGACTACTAGTGTAATTCTTACCATAAGATTACTGAAGATAGAAAATATCTTGTGAACTATTCCGGTACCTAAAGAACACTATTCAATAATCATGAGTACCGATAATGCAATGAGAAGACGTAGTTTATCAGAATTATGTGATATATTTGCGCAATACATTTCGAACAATCTGATCACACATATACTTGTTAAGAACATTTATATATGAAAAATTAAAAGGTCAACTAGACAGGTTAAGGGTAAGTCATAACACATAAACATTGGTACAAGAAGGCACCAAATATATATGCGCCACATAAATCATTCGACTTGTGTGAGGGCCGTAATACTGGCTGGGTGTCCAAACCAAAGCAGGTTGTTTTCTTAGGAGGTCACACCCAAAGTCTTCGACCTAAAACTAATTCACAAAGCAGTGGAGCAAAGTAAGGAGATGCATTCCCATGGTAGACGGTGACCAACAGTAGGTTCATACGCCATTTGTTTCCTCAGGATCCTGGAGCCTATGTGCAGCATTAGCTTGGAATCAAGGTTTTCCAACTCCCCTAGGTGGATCCTCCGTACCCACCACCAACCCGGCTAGAACTCCAGCCATTCGCTCTTCGTCCTTTCAATTTTGTAAACAACACTCCAGTCGCGAGAAGGCAATGGGTAGGACTTCTCTGGCAGTGGTTGTATGCACGTGGCCATGTGAGAGCATTTCGAGAGGGAGAGCTGGCTCTCCCCACTTTCGGCCGTACCAGGGCAAGGATAAATTTTAGATTCACCTGAACCTTACTTTTTTCTAAATAAGAAATTACAATCGAAAAACATTGTATCAATGTTTCCCAGTGACCATAAATCGATGATGTTTCGGCGAAATCAGACATTAAAATTGATCGTACAATGGGGGAAGGAAATTAGTGAGTAATCAAAACTCGTACTTTTCAACTATTGGTCGCCAATTCAAACGCAGTCTTCACCGCTTCGTTCCTGGTGGCTGAATAGCACCCCTAAGTCAAACACCGATGCATATATGTGCCTGGTCCTACGTTGTAGCTGGCTGACTGACTGACTAAAGTTTAACTCAATGTGAAGCACACGAACTTACACTTTGTTACATCAAACTTGAGTGTTTTGATGTCCTACTGTCTCGTTGTAACTAATTATTAACGAGTCTAAAATATAATGAAGTGGCTTTTGTTGTTTGATTTTCTGTATTTGGCTGGTGCATAAGTTTTTTGAATCCCGAATCGAATCCCGCGGGGTGCGGGATCGTGGATGCTCACTGCTGAGGAGTCCCATACTAGGACGAAACGGCCGTCCAGTGCTTCCAGGTTTCCAACGGTGGTCTAACATCAATTAATTCATGATCTCAACCAAAAACTTAACAATCTCCACAACCCCCATACTCATAAGTTTTTTAATGAAATTCATCATTTATACACATCACATCGTGTAAATCCTTTTATTTCTTTTCACTGTTAGATTGAGTTCTCAAACATGTGTATTCAAGGCCCTGAAGCGAATAATAAACGTCTAGCGAAACGACTTGCTGCTGAATTACTCCTTACTAAATTGGGATTGTCTAGTGAAAAATCATCTAATGTCAAGAGTGTTCTTCGAAGTAAAGTTATCGAATCACTGGACAGTAATACTCGTGCTATTAAAAGTGTTTCAGAAAATCTGTCCTGTGGTAAGGTAGTAACATTCTTGGTGTAAAATTGTATTTTTCAATGCATGAAAAAACAAAACATGATTGCTTTTTTACTGATGTTTAGCTATTCAATGCTGGTAGTTTTCACAAAGTAGTGGGTATTAGCATTAAACAGCTAGATATCAGTAAAAGCAATTTTGTTTTTTTTCTCATTAGAAAAATATAAATTCCTATTTATAATGAATATCATTTACCCAACTACCGAAATTTTTGCAAACTACTAAAAGTAGTAAGAACTGCTTTATCATATGATAATAATTGTTATCAGTTTATATATTTTTTCTAAATTCATGATCTTACAATTGCCGATCATTATATTCTGTAAGTGTAGGTCTTTTATTCATTTTAATCCCTTATTCTTATTCCCATAATTTGAAAAATGTTATCAGTAGACTAGTGGCTAAGTGGTTGAAAAATTTTACTTACAGCAACCAAATTTCATGTTTGAATCCTATTCTAATTAATTTGATTTAAATAACAATTTGGCATCACCTCGACCTTACACATCGAGTGTAATCCGAATTCAGGTACATTAGTTTGTATCTGCCAATTAGGTTAATAGACAGATACTAAATGAACTGTAGAAATTAGTAATTTGATAAAACTGTTATGACTGCATCTAGTTTCAAAAATTGAACCTGACACAAAAATTAACGTAATATGTATATGTAGCACAGTACTCTTGGAATAATTTTTTACTATATCCACAAATGCTTCAGCTCCAGCCGTCAATTACTAAATAAGACAGAAGTTTAATTCCTATTCCAACCGACAGTAACTCATAGAAAACTATTTGGTGTTTTTTTATGCCCTTTCTACACTTTTTCAAGTATTCCATGTTTAGAATGCAGGATTCAAAGGTAACGCGGTAGGTTTAAATTTCGAAATGTGAATTATAAAACATCTTTTTTGATGATTGAAGTAGAATTCTTGGCAAACAATCGATTTACCAACAAAAGCAAACGTATAAGCATTGAATTCACACATTATAAGGAATAGTAACAGATAGTGCATTTCATAATTCAATCAAAATGATTTAACAGTTTGTGGTTGTGAATTAATCAACAAAGTGCTAACGGTGAGCACTATATATAAAATCTCATTTACCTACTTTGGCTTGGACAATCAGTATTATTAGCTCATACATATGGTACACCCTTGTACCAATATTTGTGTTCAAATAAATAATCATTAGCTCGAAAATTAGTAGATTGATCGAGAATTGTTTCTTAATTTATAAATTTTGGTTGCCTAATCAGTACAGTAATTTTTACAAACAACCTAGTAATACATAGTCACTTGTCCTACGTTGTAGCTGACTGACTGACTGACTGACATAGTCACTACATACCACAAGCTTGTACGGTATACAGCGATAGTAAGTGGACTCCAGTTTGTATTTTGATTTAGTTAACTTTCTGACTCACTAGACGCCATTATGCATTATTCATGTACTTTACCAACAAAATCACCCTGTTTCCCAGTTGGCTAACTTTTTTAAATCTTCCCAGCAATACGCTAACTGGTTTATCCCTTTAGTGTTGTTGTATCTACTTCAGATTTTACATAGGATAATGGTTCTTGCAACTAAATCTAGTATATTCAATACACAGTTGAGCACTCTTATCTTTCCCGTAACGGATTTAAACCTTTCTTCGTTTGTCATTGTTACTATTTTATGAGCACTAATGGATGTAAAAGGATCGTTCGGCTTCTAACAAAATGTGTTCAGTGGATGCGAGGTGTCTTTCTGTCGATTGGTCTTGCCTTACCGATATGAAATGTGGAATGTGATGGAAGATAGCGCACGTAGGTTACTAGCGTTTGACCAAACTTGTTGGGGTGCCATCATTCGTGTATATTAGAACTACCAAGTAGGTAATTTTGATGTTAGGCGTATCGTAGTAGGTAATAGTGGCAAATCGGTCGATATTTCCTTTAGTTGTCATTCTTTGACGTAGTTGGGACATGTTTTACTCATTTTCAACAACTCCCCCACTTGAATGAGCATCGTTAACTGGCTCAGGAGTATTTTTAAAGTACGTTAGGAGCGGATAAACTACTAGTCCAAGCCGTATGATGTAGTATATACTTCCTATATCCAGATAATATTTGTGATCGATGTTGAGAGCTAATATTATTTTATTCATAGATTTCATTCCTTTCCGAACCTTTTTTCAGACTTGTTGTCTTACTATCATGAACACTAAATTTACTTCTATTCCCTTGTTCAACAATTTCCTGTATTTGTTTTTGTGTAGTATGAGAACTTTAGCCAATGCACATTTGAACCATGTCGTACATTGTTTATGACTGACCGAACAGAACAAATAATCAGGAAAATATGATATTTCTATTTTTATTTTTAAATGGAAACTAGGTCTTGTTCCAGAAACTGTCAGTAATGTACACAAATCGTTATCTCCCGTAGAAAAATCAGACGATCAGTCACAGGATACTATTTCTAACGAGGTTAGTTGCGTGAAATTACACACACTAATCATGATTTACGAAGTATTAAAAAGTTACTTATTTATTAAGTCTGAACTTTGCCGAAAATCCGTGTATATGTTTCATTGGTTCCCAACAATATTTTGTCTACAGTTAATTTCACTCAATAAAAACCTACTGTGTTGTAAAAAGATTTAGCAATATTTTTTCTATAGATATTAATTTTATGTTTTCCAATAAAAAATAATCCAACTCTGTCCTGGGCAATCCTTTCCAGTTTCTATTCATCCCTTTGATGTCTGCTTCCAATTCTTGACGGAGTGCGTTCTTTGGTCTTGCTCTTTTCAGTTTCTCTTCAGGATTTCAAGTTAGCGCTTGCCTCATGATGTAGTTTGGTGGTTTCTGCAATGTATACCCTATCCACCTCCAGAGTCTTTTCCTAATTTCATCATCGGTTAGATGATAGTTTTTTCTGTCCCACAGTGTGCTGTTGCTGATGGTTTCCGGTCAACGGATATTGAGTATATTGGGTATCAGTCAGTCAGTCAGTAACAACATAGAATTTCGTACGTACGTACATCAGTTCGAGTTACCACACCACATTAGCACCGAGATACAACCGTCGATTCAAATCCCATAGTGGTAGAGGTAGTAAAAATATGAGCAGTAATCGGAGAAATTAAGGTTTGAACATGTTATTCAAGGAGTATAATCCAGTGAAATAAATTTGGAAAGAGAAAAGGAAAAGTGACATCGAGAATTCAGACGATTAGAGTTCGGGAGAACACAAATAGTGTGTGCACCTGCGCCACTGCAAACGATTTTGAGCCATGCCATTCAGGGTCTCTAACCATCGGTTGCTATCATCTCGCAGTCCTCAACCAGGTAGTCTACACCTACCAACATGACTCCGTCCACTTGTCAGTGATTTCATGGACTTGTGCCATGTTTCGGTCTGGCCGCCTCTAGCTTTCTTCCAACCTACTCCTATGCCACTGAACATCTCACATCGGGGCATACGTAACACGTGTCCCAGCCATCTCAACTGGTGAAGTTTCACTACTTGATCAATTGATCTGCCATCCTTACCTATTACCCGTTTCCTAACAACTGAGTTACTTACTCGATCGTCCCAGGATTACGAGCAATGTTTCGAAGACACCTATGACCAAATACTAGTAACCTACGAATATCCCCTACTTTTACCGGCTATGTTTCACTGCCATAAAGTAGGACGGAACGAACTACTGTGCAGTAAACACGTCCTCTGGTTGATAAACGAATATCTCACCTACGCCATAATTGACGCAAGTTGGCAAAAGCTAGTCAAGCCTTCTGTATCCGTGCTGAGATTTCGTCATACACCAGACCAAAAAGGCTGATGAGACTTCCAAGATAAGTGAAGCGGTGGACACGCTCAACTACTTCACTCCCCATCATTAGTTCGGGTGTCGATGTAACCCAATCTTGAAGTAACATTTTGGTTGTGGTAGTTCTTGAAGTTTCAGCTCCATACAGTAAAACTGTCTTGACGTTCGTATTGAAGATTTTGATTTCGGTTGACAGTTATTTTGAGTTCTATATGTTCAACTGTAGAAATGCGGTTCTTACTTTGCCAGTCCTTGCCTTTACGTCTGCATTGTATCTACCTTGTTTATTGATAACAATGCCCAGTTACATGAAAGTACCCGGGTATATTCTAAAAGACTCATCTAATGATCGTATAAATGATTCACATAATATCCAATTATTAATAATTTTTTTCAAAGTGTGAATTGTGGCTTATTTGAAAATACTGATGTTTTGAAAATATGAAATGATTCGTTTTCTTATACATTACTTTATCTAGTGAATAATTTAATGTTTCTAATAAATTCGACTATTCACATTTATCATATTTTACGAAACAATGAAACTTATGACTATTATTTTTATTTCATGATGATTATATAACCATAGTTTTAAGCAGACTTTATGTTAATGATGTTCATGTTTGTTATCGTTACCAATGTTAGTGTTGTTCTGTATTTTTATTTTTTTATTATTATATACTTATTTGTTCGAATCCCGCCAGGCGGGGTCGTAGATGCGCACTGCTGAGGAGTCCCACAGTAGGACGAAACGGCCGTCCAGTGCTTCCAAGTTTTCCATGGTGGTCTAGCTTTAATTGACTCATGATCTCAACTACTGAAATATATTTATTAGTTTATTGGCATCTATATTGATACTTTAGAACGTCATAAATCGAAGAGTTAATCATAATTCTGGATCTGTAATATGGGGTGTCTGTATTCAACAGCTATTTTTATATATAAAATATATTATAAAAATTAAATGAAACATTATATAGGCACTTTACCGTAACGTCTAATTCATTTACGTGTATGGCCACACGAGATAAATGTTTGTCTAGTGTTGAGTTTCATTCAGTTTCGATTCTATCAGCGTTATTTCACAGTCTATCGTTTATTAGATATTTAAAATTTATGTGAAGAACCTAAGTGTTGTATAAGATAGTACAATCTGAATGTAAACCATTAACACTATATCATTGTTGAAATATTGTATTTTTATTGAACATTATAGGAACATCATGTGAACTTTAGTTGTACTAGTGATATTCTTATCTTTGATGAAGAATTAGTGGACCCTGTTTTGCTGAGTAAAAGAACTTCTCGTCCCTTAAAAAGGTAAAGGAAGCTTTTTCATAACATATAATCTGGAACTGAATTCTAATCATTAAATTTACCACGATTTTTATGTTGGAAAGTTGTCAGGCAAGCGGACAATGACAACTTAATGTTTTTTTTTATAAAAATTACACCTATTGAGGTTACAATGTTTTGAAAAGATATGGTAAAAAGAAATCAAACAAACCCGATAAAGAATGAAACGGAACTTAAATGATATGAACAAAAAAGTGATTGTCAAATAATTAGTGAATTACTTGTGGTTTGGTAGAAGAAAGAAATGAAATGTATTTTCGCTGTTGTAAACTTCAATTTTTTAAAATCTAACATCGACCTATTTTAGTTAGTATCCTACTTCAATATGTGTAGCCTATGATTCAGTCAATTCTTTTGACTGACATACATTAATCTTATCCCCTTCCAAATACTCCTCATTTGTTTCAATGTACTTGTTCTATCTGCGTTTCGATATTTCTAAACATCTTTTAAGTTCTAAATTCCAGGCTTTTCAGATGTTTAGTTGTTTTCTTCTCAAAATTGCGAGGACGAAAAGCGAATGTCCGGAGCTTTAACCGGGTTAGTGGACACTGAATGTCCACTTAGGGGAGTTGGTAAACCTTGGTCCCAAACCAAGGGTGCATATGCGCTCCAGGATCCTGAGGAAACAAATGGCGTATTAACCTATTGTTGGTTACTGGCTACCATGGGACTGCATCTCCTAAAGTTGCTTCACTGCTTTGTAGATTAGACCTTTAGGTCGAAGGCCTCGGGCGTGCCTCCCTAGGAAAACTACCTGCTTCTGTTTGAGTGCCCGGGCAGTATCACGGCTCTCACATAAATGATAGCCACTAATGGCCCCATTGTTATTGTGCAGCACATACGTATTTGGTGTCTCCTTGTACCAATGTTTATATGTTCAAATAAATAAATAATGCTGAAATGCTTGATTCCCTTATAAAGAATTGTTTAGTAATATTCATAACCTTAGTAGCACAGTTCCTGTGTATATCAGCTCAACCATACATAATATTGTATGCTGTCTTCACTATAAACCCATAGTTGTTCACTAGGTATTGTAATTCATAAAATGAAATTTCATTGTTTCAATCACTTCTTAGTATTTCTCTTCTAGATTCTTGTTTTTTAAACTATCTAAGTTAACTTCGTATTATCTAGTGACATCTTAGAGTCTACATTTGTCTCAGGTATGATAATACATAAGTCAAGGGCAAGAAGTAGTAGGTTTATTTTAAGCAAACTTGTTCTCAATCAAAGCAATAAGGTAGAGAATGGTAAAGTTAATGAGTAAATATGTGAGTATTTATACAACCAATAGCATTACAAATTAACCTATTAAGGTTAGATAAGGTCAATAATAGTTAGTATCAGTCTGTCATATTAATTTGCAACACGATTCAAGTGTACATAGTTCACAACAAACTGTTCTCTGGCTTACAACTACGTGCAACATTTAAGGATTTCGTTGTTTGTTAACCTTACCTTACATCTTTCATGTATGTTAATTTTCTATTTTTGTTTGTAGAAAAGATATTCAGTCTAGAACAATAAGTAATGGTTCGATTCCGCGTTCTCACTCGAGTATAAATCTTTCAGTCAATGAAACTAATAACTTGCTTCAAAATTATTCTCCTACATCAACTGATCTACCGTTGGTTAGTTAATTAGTATTTTACATTTTCAACAAATGATTGTATCACATATTTCTATTTTAGTGAATGTAAGCCTAATTACCTTATATAAATATGTGCTTATATGATTTTATATGCATGGCTTGTAGTAGCGACCCCCTGCACGAAACCAATGATGAACTCAAATAGATCATATTGCCATCAGTCATCGTTGGAGAGGCTTAATAGAAGACTGTCGCTTGTTCTGGAATACCTGTTTGGACTCCGATCATGCTCTTTTACGGGCACGTGTCTGCTTGCGCCTCACTGGACGCAGGAAAGCCACACCAAGAAGACCCATTAGAATTGAATTAAGTGATGAGAAGGCCGAAAATAAATTCCAGGAACAACTGAGATCACACTTAGGTAGTTCTGAAAACGAGGCTGACCCAAATGTTGCTTGGAAAGATATACAAACAGCAGTGACATCTGTCAGTGATTTAAACCAAAGGGTTACAAAAGAACAATGGATTTCTTCTTAGTCTATTGCACTGATGAATTCTCGTAAACTTATCCCATCAGGCTCTGAACACGATGATGAGCGAAAGCAAATCAGTTCTAGGTTAAGCAAAAGTCTAAGGAACGACCGTGAGCAGTAGTGGGCATCGAAAGCAAAAGAGATGAAAAAAGCGGCGGCTGTAAGTAACGCCAAACAGCTCTTCAGACTAATAAAAGAAACTGTAATTAAGAAGTCAAGTGTGAGTGCGACAATCTCAGAAAAAGACGACGCTCTTATTTGCTACCAGCCTAGACGTTTAGAACGGCGGGTCGAACATTTTAAGGAACAGTTCAGCTGAACTTGAGCTACTCTACGACTACCCACCATTCCTAGACAGCGTCAATGGAACATTGAAGTAGGTCCCCCGACTCTAGCTGAAGTCCATAAGGCTAAAGCTAATCTGAAAAGAGGTAGGGCAGCTGGTCCAGATGGATCTTTAAGTATGGTGGTCCAATTTTAGCGATTAGGTTGATTAATATTTTAGCTAAGATCTGGGAGTTAGACATAATCCCATCTGACTGGCCACAATCACTGATCGTCCCAATATATAAGAGAGGGTCAAAATCATCCTGTGACAACCATAGAGGGATTAGTTTAACTAATATAGTATCTAAAGTACTGGCCTAAATAATTGTCGGACGCATAACTAAGACTCGTGAACTGCAAACACGAGAGAATCAAGCTGGCTTCAGACCTGGTCGTGGCTGCATCGACCACATATTCACCATTCGTCAGATTCTACAACACAGACATACTTATCGGCGTCCGACAATGGTAGTCTTTCTTGACTTAAAAGCAGCATTTGACTCTGTAGACCGTGAGGTTCTGTGGCAGTATCTGTCATTGAAAGGCGTACCTCTTAAGTACATAAACCTTGTAAAGGCTCTTTACTCGAACACTACCAGTCGAGTCAGACCTTATGACGAACTTTCATCTGTTTTGCAACCTCAAGTGGTGTCTGTCAAGGCTGTCCACTTTCCCCATTTTTGTTTAACTTCATCATAGATTTACTGATAGAAATAACATTCTCGTCGACTGAGTTCTCGGGTATTGATCTCCATCCAGGAGGTCCACTTATCGACTCAGAATACGCTGATAAAATGCAGTCTTTTGGTAGCAATAAGCAACAATGCCAGAATGTTTGGAATGCGCTTCTCTCCCTCTAAATGTGCGTTAACACCTGAACTAAGAATAGGGAGTGAAGTAGTCGAATGCATTGAAAACTTCACTTATCTTGGAAGTCTGATCAGCCCTAATGGGTTGGTATCGGACGAAATCTCAGCACGGATTCGAAAAGCTCGTTTGGCTTTTGCCAACTTACGTCACCTTTGGCGAATGCGAGATATCCGTCTATCAATAAAATGACGAGTATACTGCGCGGCAGGCCGTTCTGTTTTAATTTACGGCAGCGAAACATGGCCGTTAAAAGTAGAAGACACTCGTAAGCTATTAGTATTTGACCACAGATGCCTTAGAAATATTGCTGGCGTCTGCTGGGATCACCGGGTAAGTAATAGTGAGGTTAGACGCAGGGTATTAGGGAATGATGGTAAATCAGTTGTGGATCTTCATCGACTGAGATGATTGGGCCACGTGTTGCGTATGCTTGAACACCGATTACCACGAAGTGCAATGCTAACCGGTGTTGGAGATGGTTGGAAGAAAATTAGGGGCGGCCAAACCAAAACGTGGCATCAGTGCTTGAAGTCACTAACTTCTAGTCTTAGTCATGTTGGTAGATGCAGACTACTTGGTTGGGGTCCGTGTGACTATCATAACCAGTGGTTGGAAATTCTGTGTGACATGGCTCAGAATCGATCACAATTTGCGTAGGTGTATACACTCTTTGTCTTCCCTTAAACCGTGAGATTAAAATTACTTCATACCTTTCTTTCTACCAACTAATTCTTTCTTCCTGTACTATATCCTTATATGCAATCTTTCCTTTATATATTACACCATTGAGTTAATTGCTTCTATGAATTTGGTGTTCATCTTGCTGTGCTAATGAGGTTTGGCAACGTGGACCGATGTACATATGTGCCTGGTCCTACGTTGTAACTGACTGACTATGCTTCGTTTATCACTCTCCCTGATAGCCATTATTAAACAACTCCCAATGCTGTATGAAGTTCAGACGACAACACGAAGGGTTGATTAAGTTTATTACCGTAAGACGCAGAGCACAAAGTCACAGGGATATGAAGTGAATACAAATAGAAGTGGGAACGCGAACGAATGAATAGGATTTAAGAAGTGCACTATATATGGGCAAATGACTGAATCACCGAACAATCTAGAAAACTAACATGTAAACTAGTAAGAGGAATATGTTTGTAGGCTGTTACAATAATAATAATAATAATAATAATAATAATAATAATAATAATAATAATAATAATACCAAGATACGGAAAAATCATTACTGACCTAATGATACTTAAATAAGCTAATTAAAGGGCGAAGCAAAATTAAAAATCATACAGACTCAAGTGTAGGTGATGTGCTACAGTCTGTCACAATGTATACCAGAAAAATACCGAAGGATAGCAAATAAATGATACACTTAGTGAAGCTTGAATGAAAGGTAAAATTTGTTATCAGGTTGACTGAACTGTGATTGTTGTAAGTTGCTTCTTCCCGATAGTGTCGCCTCCTATGAATACTCATTTAAAAAAATACAACTTGAAAAATGTACATCATAACTTCTTTTCTCATTGATGACATCTTTTAAGAAACAGGCAAAGTCCATTGTTTTTTAGAACACATTGTGAGACTATTGTCTATTAGAATTTCTTCAACTATATGATTTAGTATAATCCACTTTTTCATGTATGGATGCGTTCAACATACTGTGAACTGTCAGTTACTTGTTCTTCTCTAGAAGAATAGTAAAATCTCTTAATAGTCATAGTTTTTTCTATTCATCTTATCTAGCTGTTATTAACTTGATCGGCTCCATACCCTTTCTTAGATTATATTTACGTAACCAATGCTGATAAATTCAGTGTTAAATAGCAAGTCGATTATCTGAAATCAATTTTTCAAAGATTTTTTGAATCATCATTTTTAGTACCATGAGAATTATTCTGCTGTTTCCACAATGTATCAACATTATAAGTGTAGCCTAATGCGTTTGAAATGAAAATCTCTGTCTGGGTTCTAGTTCTGGACTGAGCATCAATATTGGGATACAAGTATACCCAGCTGACAAGTGCCAAATAGAACTAAACTCACTTCATAGATTCCACTGGCGGTCACTACTTAAAAATACTTGTAACTTAATGCAAATATCAAGACAATCCGCTCAGAATGCACGTATGTCAAAAAGAGACTGATCAATGGGATTCCTTACCATCAACAACGAGAAGATTCAAACATCTTTTAAAACTGAATCAAAATGAAATTTTTGTTCAGTGTGATGTAATTTTCGACAGTCTTCCCACTTGATATCAGTTCGTGTTGAGAAATATCTTTGGATTAATCCATAAAATACTCAAATAAAAAAACGTAAATCTTAGAAAATTTCCAAAAGGTTATACTTTTGTTTAGTCTGAAGTTAGTTATTATTTACTTGGTTCGATGTATATATATATATACTTTTCTCTATTTTTCTTATCACTTTTTCTTTCAGATTAATTCAGTATCTGAAAGAAATAGGAATAATCTAGATGTCTTCAGTAAAACCATCGGTTATTGGATAGGTTTGTACCTTTTCTTATTTTACTTTAATAAATGATTTTCTTAAATAAGAAGAGAGAGAGGGAGTCTTTACGATTTATGATGATTGATAGGATTCGATGAGCGTTAAGAATAGCTTGACATCATTGACATAGAAGGTTATGTAAGAGTCTTTATGATTTATTGATAGATTACATTTAACTTGGTAAATATACTTGTTTCCATAATAATTCATCAGATTACACCAATTTTAACGAAGCTATTATGACTAAATGGAAACTGTTTTTTTTTCAAAACGCAGTGATTCTAAGATAGCACCGTGTTGGTTCAGAATAAAAGAATCAAGAATATATGACAAAAAAAAGTTAAACTAAAGCGTTTGTCATCATCCCCATTGCGCACCACATAATTACTTACGCCTGTTACTTTTCTTTGAAGTCCTCCATAGTAGTTTCCTCGTCTTTGAGTAGGTCTTGTAAAGCTTGGAACCTGTTGTTGATCTTTATCGTCGTCATTGCTATCATTGATGGGTACATAACATTGGGTAAAATTCATTGTGATTCCCTCCTTTGTTTTAAAGGGTGCTTTGATGATCCTGCATCTATGAGATTCCCATTCTATAAGTGCATTTCGTACATCTTTGGACAGCATCAGTGCAACTCTTTGTGTGTACGAGACGTTTTCTTCTTCGTGACCCGAGTACAATTTCATCTCTCCAGAAAGTAATCCTTTCTGTCCAGCCTGGGTCTAATGGGTTTCGCTGATTCCAGGTACTGCCAAGTTGTATCTCCTCAATTTCGCAGCTATTTGATTGGTTCTCCCTGTCTCCTACATTGTCCTGACATTTCATGTACCTATATTGATTGTTGCTCTGATTGTTAGGAGTGGCATCAACTTCGTGACGTCCGAAGAATCTCGGTTTTCACCATGAGGCGTCATAGTTGTTCCGAAAGATCTCTCAACTTCCAGGACAGAGTTTAAATGGTTTAATTTGTTTAATCTGGTTAACTTTTTTAGCAAAATTTTCTTCTACGGGATGGGGTTGCTAACCACATGCCCAAACTTCCTATACCCAAGATCGAAACCGACAGTAACCCTAGAAAATGTACAGGTGAAGTTCATATCACATGAATTAAAAAAAATACGAGAGTAGTAGATATAGTAACCGTATGAGTTGTAGTAAAAAGCATCAAGCAAAGTCAATATTATTCGAGAATCAAGAAATAATTTGCAGAAAAAAAACATGAGACAATTTTAGAACCCAAGATCCAAGGAGAAACAAAGAGTACATTTGTATCACTATGGTTGATACCGAGAAATTTCACTCGTTGTCTCTAACTTTATTTAGGGTAATTTCATGAACTCGAACGAGGTAGGCTGTACCTACCTACATGGCCGAGTCCAACAGTCTTCATAGACTGACTCCACGTTTTTGTTTAGCCACATATAGCTTTCTTCCTCTACTAGCAAACATCATCTGTCAAGGTGGATAGTGGTCGGGCGATTGTAATATAGCTTTATAAAGATAAGATTATCGTAATTTAAATGCATTTTATTAAATGCATACAATTTTAGATTCCAAAAAGTCAAAACCCAATCAGAGGTCCTATGCACGAAGTCATTCAGAAGTTGATTTCACTGAAGGTAGTCACTGGTATCGAAAGTTCGATGGCATCTATGATAATACATCGCCTGATATTATTACTGATTGTACACGTTCTAAATCGAATATAAGACTACAACTTTTGGCCCGTGTCGCTGAATATTGTTTACAAGAACACGCTCTCAACAATTCAATACACAAAATGAATGAATATCATACGAGTCAAGTTACCAGTTTAACTGATCAACTGGTGTTTCTGTGTAGGCGTCTGCTAGTTCCTTGTCATTTTATTGAATATCCACCCAAATTAAACACAGTGTGCAAGGTACCATTTTAGTTTGATTATTGTACTGAATTTTGTACTCTATTAATATTTGGTTGATAATACTTAAAATTAGTTAATAAGAGATACTATAATGAGGTTGTAACTTTTGGTGACTATCAAAATACTTTGTTTAAAGTAAAAATTGCTTCAAATTCTGGGAGTAGAAATGCAAAGTTTATTCATGACTTTTATAACCTGATAAAAATAGTGATTCATGATTGTTTAGAGCACCCCTGAAAGTTGTCAGATATAAAGCTCTTCAAGCGCTCCGTTTTGGATTTTGCTAGGATCGTTTACACATACGGTATTCCCGAGTTTTGTATCCTGGCAATTGGAAAGCATACGCAACGACAGTTGTTCTGAACTTACAGTTTTTAGAGCCTTCATCTAAACGTTTGATTGTTATGCTCTACAGTGAAAATACCTGCTTCCTAACTGTTGCCAAACTTAGGACACTACCTCAAAAACCAAATGCTAATGCATGTATCTCATGCGTATGCCTAGAAATTGTAGAACTGATCCACACAGGGACGTATAAGTGGTGGCTTGTTATTGGTGTGTAATTCGCTAACTCACAGTAGCCTATCCCCCACTTATATCCCGTCTTGGCTTGTGACAGTATGTTATCTGTCTGGGATCCCCCAGGGTATCGTTGTTAGACTTCAGAAAACGTTTTCTCATTCATCGTCTCCATAAACAGCATTTAAAGATTCATACGTCTCCTGAAATTTTTTCGTATTTTCATCGTAAGACTTACTGTAAAATAATAAGTATAGAATGCACGGTCTTTCTTTAGGAAGGGGTTTTGTGATATTATGGTAATTCTAATAGTTGTGATCATGAGTCGATTGAAGCTAGACCACCATGAAAAACCTGCGAGCACTGGACGGCCAAATACATATTCGCCACATAAATCATTCGGTTTGGGATACTGCCCGGGTGCTTAGACTGAAGCAGGTGGTTTTCTTAGAGGGCCACGTCCGGAGCCTTCAACCTAAAGGTGTGATTTAAAAGGCAATGCAGTAGCGTCAGGAGATGCAGTCCTACAGTAGACGGTGACCAACAATAGGTTCATACGCCATTTGTTTCCTCAGGATCCTGGAGCTCATATGCACCATTGGTTTGGAATCAAGGTTTTCCAACTCCCCTAGGTAGGTCCTCCGTACCCACCACCATCCCGGTTAGAGCGTCAGATATTCGCTTCTCGTTCTCTCAATTTTGCAATCAACGCTGCAGTTGCGAAAAGGCAGTGAGTAAAACTTCCCCAGTAGCGGTTTTATGCACGTGGTCATTTGAGAGCATTTTGAAAAGGATAGTTGATTCTCCCCAACCTCGATCATACCATGGCATTTGGGGACAAACAAAGAGAATATACTATCAGTTATTTGTTTACAAATAAATGGTTTATTTCCTGTTATTTTGGTTATTTATTTATCTAAATTAGTCCATTGATTTATTTCAACTACTACTCATTACTTTAAATAGATGAATATTTGATAGAATTAGTATTTTTCCTCCCTTTATTTTAGTCTGAAAAAGAATTCAACACTAAATATTATTATGAATACACAGTTATCTTATTTGTTGGTATTAATCCTATGAAAGAGAATTCAATCATAAATAATTCAATTAATAGTAATGGTTATATAACAGTAAAAGCTACAGATTTAACAAGAAATTCAGCAAGACAAAAAGCTGCCCAAAGTGTAATAAAATGTTTAACAAAATTAATTTGAATAATGATTTCGATTATTTTCCTTTTTTTGTCTTCATTTAATTAAGAAATGATAAACTTTGTCCAGTTTTTATTTATCTATTTCTTTTTTAGGAGGATACATGCTTTTGTAGTCATCTAATTCCTTTTCTTCGTTTACTCTTTACAAAATACTTTTTATCCGAAGGGGTTTTGTGGAGATTTTAGAAATTTCAATAGTTGAAATCATGAGTCAACTGAAGTTAGATCATCATGGAAAACCTGGAAGCACTAGACGGCCGTTTCGTCCTAGTATGAGACTCCTAAGCAGTGCGCATCCACGGTCCCGCTCCCCGCGGAGGAGTCCCCATACTACGATGAAGAGGCCGTCCAGTGCTTTCAGGTTTTCCAAGGTGGTCTATCTTCAATTGACTCATGATTTCAACTATTGAAAATACTTTTTGTTTTAGCATTTTAACTTCTCAAATTTTATCAAAAGCATTTAAGACAAATTTCTGAATCATTAATACTTTTCTATTCTATAGCTACATTCAGATTCTTTTTCTTTAAACTTAAATCTCTACGATACTTGATAATAGTTCATTTAAATGACAATGTGATTATTTTCAACTCTCTATACAGCACTACTTTTTATTAAGTCAAATTCTTTCTAGTAAACTTTTCACTCATATTTTCATCAGCAATCGTATTTATATGACTAATTGGATTAGTTTTATGATGACAAACAGATTGTTCTGTTAAAATATAAATAAATAATGCTTAACCTAGCAACAATACTTGTTCGTATAATCACAATTGATTGATCACTGGGTGGTGATCAATGTCATGTGTGTCAAATCCTTCTTAGTGCGGATCGAATGCTATCGACCAAGTTGCACTGTGGCTACTAGTCTAGGTGACTCGACATTACGTGCACTATGTTGGGATTAGAGGGTGGTTGGAGGTAGTCAACAGGAAACCCTGGACTCGGGTTCCGTGCTGCTTGGCACTCGTCAGCACGGTGTACCTGTAATCTTGATGCAACTGGTGCTTCCTGACGGATTTGATCCCTTATCACACAGCTTCACAGTCAGAGATGCTACCACTAGGCTATCCGGGTCGTGACCGACCTCCTGCATGACTGAGATGTAATCACAATTGATTGATCACTGTGTGGTGGTCAATGTCATATGTGTCAAGTCCTTCTTACTAGTTCATATATGTTAGTCAGTAACGTAGAACTTCGTACGTACGTACGTCAGTTCGAGTTGCCATACCACATTAGCACAGAGATACAACTGTCGATTCAAATCCCATAGTGGTAGAGGTAGTAAAAATATGAGCAGTAATCGGAGAAATTAAGGTTTGAACATGTTATTCAAGGAGTATAATCCAGTGAAATAAATTTGGAAAGAGAAAAGGAAAAGTGACATCGAGAATTCAGACGATTAGAGTTCGGGAGAACACAAATAGTGTGTGCACCTGCGCCACTGCAAACGATTTTGAGCCATGCCATTCAGGGTCTCTAACCATCGGTTGCTATCATCTCGCAGTCCTCAACCAGGTAGTCTACACCTACCAACATGACTCAGTCCACTTGTCAGTGACTTCATGGACTTGTGCCATGTTTCGGTCTGGCCGCCTCTAGCTTTCTTCCAACCTACTGTACACTATAAAACATCGCTTGTCGTGGCAGTCGGAGGTTGGGCATATGTAACACGTGTCCCAGCTATCTCAACTGATGAAATTTCACTACTTCATAAAAGTTCATATATTCACCCGTAGCCGATTCAAATTTGCAATGTGGAAATAGTTGGTTAGTCTGTATCGATCGCTCTGACAAGGAAATAAACTATACAGTATAATTATTTAGACCGTATGATATTACAAATTAACCTTCCCTCTAATCGATCACCACTTTTAAATGTTGGTACTTAATTTAGCTACCCCCAATCAGGTATATATGTGCATAAGTTTTGATAGGCCTTTACAAGTAGTCTACATAGAATAGACTACTGGTAATCTCCGACTTAATAAATACGATTTAGGTATCACGTATGTAGTTGCATGGTTATGTTTTTTGATTTATCTATTTGAAATTGAGAAAATGCTGAATAGCAATGCAGTGTATATAGTTTTCGGGTGGTAATCAATTCACTGGGTTTAGTCTGTTCTTACCAGGTTGTATGTATATCATCTTTATTAAGCTACTGACTGTTGCAGTATCACACTAGCCCCCACTAGGTGTCTACAAGAAATTGATTTACGATCTTCTTGTCTGTAATGTAGATGAAACTATCTTCTACGCGACTTTGGTTGGCGCTAGAAGCCATCAGCGATCGATTATTGTGGCGTTTCTTAGAGCCGAATTAGCCCAGCTTTGTGTACCTTTATGCTTTGGTGCCAAATCAGATTCTACACCAGAAAGTGTTAAGGCAGCTAGTGCCTTTTGTACGTCTCAATTTTATTTTAGATCTATTTATAAATTGTTTTGTTGCCATAGTCGCGATAGCTGCACTGTTGGTAAACTTAGCGTTTACTTAGATTTTGTAAGGTAGTTGCTTTGTACGATCTCTAGTAAAGTGACTGTTCGTGATTCAACGAGGTCCACAGACCAGAAGTCAAATTAACGGAAATTACACTGAATTAATACAAAACTCACAATTATATTCGTACAAGATTCTTCATTTAATTTTTTATTAGCAAATTGTCTTTGGGAACTTAACATCCTCCAAGACATTAGTAGTTCATAAACCTCAGAGAAAGCGATTGCATTTATCATTTTAAGAATTACAGCGAATATTTTATTGACTATATGTATGACTGTTACAAGAAGTGGCAGGAAACTAAACTTCTCATATAAAACAAATTCATGCATAAAAACAGCACACCTCTATGGAGCTAGTCGTTCGTATACCCAACCATTTTCTCCAACATGTACTAGGTCAGATCCATTTATTTCTGAAATTTGATCACAACGACGAAATCTAATACGATCATGCAGTCTGCTTGTTTGACCTTGCCAAAACTCAATTGATTTCGGAGACAGAATATATCCTCCCCTAGCAAAATATAAATAATAGATTTTTTCCAACGTTATCAACAATGTGTTATCTTGTACAAACGTGGATCGGTACAATTTGTCACATGAAAATAGGATGCACACAACTACCACTATGAAAGTCATACGGTTCGAAATAATAATAGTATTATCAGCGATAGTAAAAGCTAAACATATAGAATTTAGTCTTTAAAAATGAAATTGAAAGACAAATACCGTGAAATAATGTTAAAACGCAGGAACTGGAGAAAGATGAAGAGTGAACGAAAACTTGCCAGTGCAAAATATTTCGTCTAGTATCAACCACGGTATGTAGTCATAGGTTGCGGTTCTGTAAAATAGTCAATGATTAATTTGGTTTCATTTAGCCTGTCAAACTAGAACTATTTTAGTCACTATTACGCGTCGTGGTGGCCAATGTTCTTCTACATTTCTGAAGCCTCAGTGAATGAAAGTTCACAACACCGTCGAACGGTTTATAATCTTTACCTAGTAACTACATCTAACTTCAGTATTACCAACTTGGTTTTATAGAAACGCCACATCCAATAATCAAAACAGGAACAATCCATTATAGCCAAACCAACGTTGTGACTGACTGACTGACTGAGCCAAACTGACTAATAATTGCTGAAAATGTTGAGATGCACGTTAATATACCATAAACTTAGTGTCTTTAGTAGCGAAATTCACGCATATAAAAGATATAAATGCAGAAGTAGGTTTTATATTTTACGATGAATTGTTGTAATAACAAGTGGTCAACATAATCAGCCATCGTTTAACTCAGTAGCAGCTACAGGTCAGCATTTTAATCTCATTGGTGTTAAGTAATGAAAACTGCCTGAACTCATGAAGAAACTTAAGAATCGTAGGGTCCAAATCTACTGTTTTTTTTAGCATAGTCATTATTTGACTGATCAACAGACTCGACATAAAGTTTATGAAACCACATAATTGGCTAATCATTACAACAAATTACCTGAGAATAGAAAATGAGTAAGTTTAAAATTTACCAACTGAATATGAGAATCTATCGTGTTACTTGTAAAATTAGTAACGAGCAAATAACTAAATCGGTTTTTATATATGCTTAATTCTGTTGATTTTTATGTGATATATGTCGTACAGCCAGATGAATTCATCATTGTATTTCTGATCACTCATTATGGTGGATCAAAGGATAATAGAAAACAATAAGAAGCCATGATCTACTACGTTTCGCCGATACTAGCCGTCATATCAGTATTTCAACTTTTAAAGTTATCAACAGAGTTCTACTGAACTCAAAACTAAGACTCCTACATACAACAGAAGCCATAGAAATACACATGAACAAACCTTATCTTCTGCATACAGGAGACGCTTTTATGGCTCCTTAATCTACCTTAGCCTTCTACCTAGTCACTTTTACATTTCTCAAGAAAGATTTTTAATCTTTTCAATGCCGATTCCATTTTATTTCCTGGTTTTATTCTTGTGTACCTTGCCTTTATAAGCTGATTATCTAATTTTTGGCACAATCTTTATTACTTATCCATTATCAATTTTACAAGTAGCATTATTCATTCATATTCAGATGGTATGAATTTTCACCATTTATTTGATATGGATTTCATACTTAACCGTAAACCAATATATTTGTGAAGATCTATGACCAGGAACTAACTAGAAAGAAAAACCTTTTTTCCTTTGACTAATTTGTAAATAGGAGAGATATTTAGACGATTAGTGCCTGTTTGACATGTAAGACTAGAAATCTGAATGTTGGGTATCATGTACCATATCAGAAGTAACTAAGTTAATTAGTCTTCTGATATTGAAAATATAGGTAGATAATGATATGATTCCCACTAGACATAAATAGTTAATTCATAAAGGCATATATTAGGAACGTACCAATTTGAAGGCTTTGGAAGCTTTTCTCTCGCAGCATATTCATTTTCTAATTCTACGTACTTTTTGTCCAGAAACTATTTGAAGCGAGAAAAAAAACTATACTATTATCCTAAGACGTTATGAACCAATTCGATATGGTGTAGTCAGATGAAAAAATGGTCGAAGAAATATAAATGACTACTTATATATTACACTCTAGAATCAAGAATCCTACCCCATAAACAAATAACATTGAGGAAGAAGTGGTGAAAAACGAATGAAGTGTAAGGTTTGAAGTTTCTGTAGTAAATAAACTGATTGAACACCTATAAAAAATGAGGTGGTTGAACAAGACGTCACATACACACAGTTTATCTGTGCATGGTATGTTGGTTAAGAGATCGTAAAAAGATTCATAGTTAATATACAAAGATGCAGCATCGATTCGAGAAGTTCAAAATTGTTGTTTTGATATGTTTATTTGTAATGAATAAAATACATAGAATGGAGATTGAGTAGTTGAGAAGGTTAGTTGACATACCAAAGATTTACATAATGGGGATTTATTTACATGCTCTTTCAAGACAATTTAAAGATTAAACTGTCAGAATCATCTGAGCTTTAAGTAATTTATGGATCTTAACAAGTTCTAGACTACAGTTATTATCAAGAAATATTTTAATGAAAGTTTCGGTCTCTTCCTTATATGAACATAAAAGTTGCGTCCGATTAAAAAGATATCGTAGGAATCCATATATATATATATATATATATATATATATATATATATATATATATATTGTATATATATATATATATATATATATATATATATATATATACTGAAGTGAGAAGAAAATTCGTTAATCCAAATAATATCCTATTCATGGTGATTTTACTTAGATTAATCACGCCCATCATCTATTTCACCACTTACTACATACAAATTATAAGAAGTATGTGTATTATATTATATATCAACAGATTAGAAATGCTACGCTTACTGAGATAATCAGAATTCACAGTCAAAATATGAAGTTTACATCTATGAGGAAACGTTCTTTAGTATGTGTAGATGAAGAACGCTTTAGTACAGTCAAACACAAACTTTCAGTAAGATACTGTATTCATTTCAGATATTGAACTTACTTCACGACAAGGAATTGGTTCACTTTGTGAGCTAACTGTAGCAGAAATTTGACTAGCCTTCGGGCGGGATTGAAAATATTCTTCACTCTCTACCTCTGAAGCACGTGAAACAACGCCTTCCACACGTACCTACTCAGAAAATATAATTTGAATGAATGTATCTAGAAACATTTTTGATAGGAAGCACATCAAGTTACAATACATAAAACATCATTTTTAACACATCAGTGAACCGTAACTACCAATCTTGTGGTAACTTTGTACTTACTGTTAAGATGTTAGTAATTTTCTTTTACAGTATACTCTACGAGCCTCAAGATGATAGGGAATATTTTTATTTCAGATAGATGATTTTGGTGAACTTTCATTGAGTCAAGCTACCTAACTCAGAGAATGAAAGTTTACCGAAATCTGTGAACTTCACTTTAATATTGAAGACGGCAAACAATATATTTTAAACCACATTTTACTATATCTACAATTAGTTTTTCCCTAGGTTATTTTAAAGAATGAGTTGATAAATGTTATGTCTGATTCCGTTCTGACTGCGGGATGCTTAACTGATTTGGCCTCTAAAAGAAATCAAAACGATATAAAAATATACCAACTTTTATATGATTTATCCGTCAGACTCGTATGAATTAAAATGAGTAACATTTAACACTAATGAATCAGTAACTTACTGTGTGAACACATTTACAATCTCACATAATGAAGAATCTATAGCCAACAGATAAGACCAATTTAATACTTAGTTACTTACGCCTGTTACTCCCAATGGAGCATAGGCCGCCGACCAACATTCTTCAACCCACTCTGTCCTGGTCCTTTTTTCTAGTTCTATCTAATTGTTGTTCACTCTCCTCATATCTGTCTTCATTTTTCAGTGTAAAGTGTTCTTACTTCTTCCTCTTTTCCTTTGGCCCTAAGGATTCCAAGCGGGGATGTTGAGTGGGTTCAGTGGGGCTGGTCGATTCAAGAGTTCCTTGGAGTGCTCTACCCACATTTTTCGCTGTTCTTAAGCGTTGGTGATTACTTTGCCCTCCTTGCTTTTCACTGGTCGTTCTGGTTTACGACAATTTCCAGCGAGCTTCTTTGTTGCATCATACTATTGTCTCATTTTTTGTTTTCTTGCAGCCTTTTCCGTCATCATTGCTAGATCTTCCACATATTTACGTTTGTTGGTTCTGATCCTCCTCTTCACTTGCTTGTTTACTTCTGTGTATTTAGCTTGTGTCTTAGCTTTCTCTTCTCTTGTTCGGTTGATATTGATTGCTGTCTTCTTGTTCCTCCTTTCTTGAATCTTATCTAGTGTGTCAACCGTGATGCATTCCTTGTGATGGTGCTTCTTGTGACCCAAAACCTCATGACATGTTGAAGTGATTGCCTCCTTGATCCTCATTAGAATGAGTTTACATGTCACAGATGATTAAGTTCATGTCATTCGCACTCTAATCGATCAAGTCATTGGTCTCCATGTAAATAAAAATATGCATTCATTGTAATAATCATTCAATCTACTTGTTACAATAATATGATTAAATGAATTGAATATGCATCAAGGAATTAAAGCTATTGTTTATGCACCGAACATTCAAACATAATAGTATGACTATGAACTATTTGACAGATAAAAAGTGATCACTGACGGATAAAAACGAATATTACTAACTGTCTTTCATTTCTGCCTGTTGTAACACATGTCAATAACAAGTACGTTTAGTGGCCCGTTGGTCTGACTCCAATTTCAAAGAACGAATGGATATTTAATGAGTATAAGTCTTCTACTTAACTCCGTATACTACACCTAGGCTAACCCCGTTTGTGTGACTGTGGTAATAAAGAAGCCAAATACGCGTTGGGTTGGATGGGTTTATTTCAAGCATTAGTTTATTCAGACAGATATTTAGAATGAAAAGTGAGACGGAGAAGGCGAGTAAACCAATTCGTTTTAACCAAGAGTGACTTAATATTTATGACCAAAAATAAACCAAAGACATGTGATGAATAGGGTAAACAATACACACACAAACATACGCTTAAATGAAAAGTTAATGTTATAAGCAGATAATTGACAAGGTCAAAATGTGAATCAAGAAGCATGGAGAAATCATTCTTTCCCGAAGCCATAATAACCCAGATGGGCTTGGCACAGTACTAGACACAACACAGGTAAAACAAAATGTCCAGCATAGTATATATGCTTTAATAGTAGGCTGCAATTTAACCGGAATCTTCTGAAATCTCACCAAATGCTTTTTTGACACAATAACCTATCTCATAGGAAAGAATACAGCTGAAACAATGCATAGGATTCAGAAAGAAGAATATACATCATAGACATCTGAAACATTGTTCGTGTCAATCCAATTTCGATATTTCCATAATGATGCTAATATGTTGACAGTTTGTCAATTTATCAATCATAAATAACATAGAACATCGAACATATTTAATTAGTTGAAGTTGCGAAATCATATCAGCACATCAGAAAGATTATTAAGATAAATACTTTAGTAGTAGAAGTAAAAGTATTAGTTACAGTTTAAAACATTAAGAAAGAACTGAACTATTCGGGAAGAAAGAACTAATTTGCGGAAAAAAACAGTATAAACTAGATTTAAAACTCAGAATTAAAAAGAAAACAAAGCGTGAATGTATTTGCTCTCGAGGCATCTTGTTGACTCTAATATGACGATAGGCGATAACGAAATATAAAGCCTTATTTACTTCATAGATGTTCTGTCAACTATACCTGTTAACAACAACGGAAATCGAGAAATTTCATAGGTTGAAATCATGAGTCGATTGAAGCTAGACAACCATGGAAAACCTGGAAACACTGGACGGCCGTCTCGTCCTAGTATGGGACTCCTCAGCAGTGCGCATCCACGATCTCGCACCACGCGGGGTTCGAACACAGGACCTACTGGCTTCGCGCGCGAGTACTTAACCTCCAGACCACTAAGCCGTCATCCAACGGTGTTAATGTCTAACTTCAACCAATCCACGAAGTTGCGCCACCGTACACCATTGTCTTCAGTGAGTTGTTATCTCACAACAGACCTGGTGAGAAGCCGTTACCAGTGGAGTTCAACCAGGTCTGTTATGAGATAACAACTCACTGAAGACAATGGTGTACGGTGGCGCAACTTCGTGGATTGCTTGAAGTTAGACATTAACACCGTTGGATAACGGCTCAGTGGTCTGGTGGTTAAGTGATCGCGCGCGAAGCCAGTAGGTTCTGGGTTCGAACCCCGCGTGGTGCGGGATCGTGGATACGCACTGCTGAGGAGTCCCATACTAGGACGAGACGGCCGTCCAGTGCTTCTAGGTTTTCCATGGTGGTCTAGCTTCAATCGACTAATGGTTTCAACCTATGGAATTTCTAAAAACAAATCTCCACAAAACCCATTCTGGAAATTGAGAAGTTGAATCCGAGAGTATTTTGAATACTAATAACCTACGAATATCCTCTATTTTTAAAGGCCGACTTGCACAGCCATAGAGCAGAACAAAACTAACTTCCACCCAGTATACTCGTACCTTTGTTGGAAAACAGGTATCTCACCTAGACCATAAGTAGCACTGGTTGAGAATGTTATAGTATAACAGACGCTAATAGTTTATGTAACTAAATAAGGTCGTAAATATATTGGTAACTCGAATGATTTTTTATTCATTACAATATCCACAACTAATTCATTGTAGTATTATTATATATATATAAACTTCAATTATCCTGTACAATTAGTGCGGCTTGTATGCATGGGTAGTGTCACAAAACTCAACAGCCAATAAAATTTTCAAATGAAAAAGACCCTAGTCAAGATCCACTGATCATGCTGACATCCAATCAGTAACCGATAGGCTATTCAGTGAGACTTAATATTCTGACTAATCAAATTGTGATAAAAACCAAAATTCAAGATTTCTAACATATTTCATATGTATGTCTAAAATATGACATGTAATAAATCAGTCTGAGGACGTCATATCTTCTTTTTGTTGTGCATATCAATTGAAGATTTATCACCTTGTACATTTGGTAGAAATTTTCATCTTCATATAGATTGCAATTGTGGTTTTAAAGAACATTAGAAATGCTTTAGAACAGATCCTTATCTTTCCAAAAAGTGACACTAATAATTACCATATTTTTGTTGTGACGGTAAGTGTCCGAAATCTGATACTGATACACGACGCGCTACGAGCTAACGCCCCCCCCCGACTGACTACTCGAGCGAGAACACGAGATTGGACGATAAAGAACATTGTGCTACCGAAAAAATGCACAGCCACTCATTTATATATATACAACTCTACTCCCCCCCAGAAAATCAATCAATTTCTTAGCCAATGAAATGCACTAGTTATTCAGGTCACTACTAATTGCCATTGGCTGACATAATTTGGCTACTTCTGATTGGGTGATCATATCAATTTTCATTACCCCCAAATTTACCATTTAGTGTTTACAGACGACATGAGTAATGATCAAATACCTATGAATTACGCATAACTTTCATCCTTAATGATTAAGTCTCAAGAGATGCAAACTAAAATAAAGAAATACCAATAGATAAATTCATCTTTCGGCATGTAGTCAGGGGTCCAACCCACCAACCATATATGTTGATGAGTGCTAAAAGAACCTTTTGTATTCATGTTGAGATTTTGTAGACTACCAATCGTTTATCAGGGTCGAATTAACTCCTTAAATAAAGAATCGAGTGATTCAAATAAACGTGATTACTGACTGTTTTAAATATAATTAATCAATTGCATTTATTTTATAGTTTATCATTAATTGGTGATCAAAACTTCTTTGATATATATGTACATCTAAAAGAACAATAAAAGTCAATTCAACGAATAAAAACTAAATTTTTGCGAGCGATGTTCACCAGGTTTTGATCCTGTGATAGCATAAAAAATTACTTAAACTACAACGTAACGCTACACTTGAATCCAATTTGTAATCAATTTAATTTACTATCTAACAAAAATTCAGACAAATTAAAAGCCTTATTCTTTTGCTGTTGCCTGGAGGACTTTCTAATCTTGAGTATGCGGATTATATTGTCCTACTGTGTTACCTGAACTCTCCGAGTTGAAGATGTTAGACAACTCTGTGTTTGATTACCGTCGTCTCCAAAGGATTGCTAACATCCAGTAGCAACACTATTTTAGTAATGCAGAGGTTCTTCATCGTGTGTTCGGACACAGCGATGATGATTCAATTGTTGTCACTTTCGTGAAACATCGAGTTCAGTGGCTTGAACATGTTTTACGAATGTCTGCGTAGAGACTTCCACATAGTACATTATTTGCCGAGTCTGGGACCGGTTGGAAAAGGCGGAGAAATGGTCAGTGTATGACATGGTGTCGTGGTATGAAAGAAAGCTGCTGTTGGTCCCTCACGACACCCTGATTAGGGTCCTAGAGGTGATCCAATACAGTGGCTAGAGACGTTATCAGACATGACTCAGAATAGAATCCAGGGGCGATCCTGCCGTGACATTCTTTTATTTTCTTCATAAGAATGAACGTATCTTCTTTAATTGAAAGAACTTTTTCTGGTTGTACTTTTGCCAACTGAGCTGTCTCCAACCACTATTATCATTATTACTTCACTCGAGTGCGCTAATTTCTATTCCGTTTTGCTCTATTTTATTATACTCATCTTCCTTTCTCTATCACCTTACAATCTCTTTGTTATTGTGTGGCGCATAGGTATCTGGTGCCTCTTGCACCAATGTTTGTGTCCAGTTAAATAATACATTATGAGCTTGATGATCTAAAAGTTTTAGACCAGTTAAATGGACAAATCATTTGGTCATCATTACTTAAAAGGGAATTTAAGATTTGGCTTAAAGATTTCTAAATGATCAACTGTTCTTACCTGACGTTTAAGAGGTTCCCAATAAAAAACAAGACTTGCATGTGGATTACTATCAAGCTCTTGAGCTTTTCTGCTATTATAATTAGTGAAAAAATGAAATCCATTTTCATCCAATTCTTTCAAAAGAACAAACCGTACACTTGGAATACACTGTCTGACAAGAAAATTTTCGACATAAATTGATTAATAAGACAAGTATGAGGAAATAAAAGCACTAAATCAACTGTAAATGAAAAATAAACACTTTTGTACAATACCTTATGATAGTTCTTTTAGCGTTAAAATCTTCACCAGTATCTGTGTAACAATGTTCTTGGTTTAATTAATGTGAAATGTCTCGACAATTCTGTTTCACAATGGGAATCTTTAATAATTTTATGGGAATATTTTAGGTAAATCCCTATTAAAATTACGCAAAATTTAGTCTCATTTCACAGTGGAACCTGTATTTATGGTTTAATATAAAAATTATCCTGGTAATAAATGGAGCTTTATATAAGTATATATTTTTGATTTCATATTCATTTCCAAATAACTGGTCAGTGACCAATGCTCCACGAAGAGTAACAGATGTAAGTCTAAATAACAGCTTGATATAAGAAATTAATCGACAACATTTCTTTTAAAAACACCATGGGTATATATTATGTGATGAAATTGCGTTTACTTTCCCCACCAATCTTTGAATCTCTGAAGTTAGTGAACATAAGTCTAAGTAACAGGATAGACAAACGACTTTGAATGGCGAGCATTTCAGACCAAAATACTTGGAATACCAATCTGTATGAAAGATTTCAGAAAAGAATTTTCAAAGGAAGTGAATAAACGTCATCGATAACACGTTTTTTTCTGAGCACCCATTTACACAAACGAGGGGTTTAAACAATTTTTACTGGTTTTTCTAGGATATAGTTGTCATTCAACCTTAGAAAAAACTAATGGAGTAACCTGGAAGCACCAGAAAAGAATGATATTGAATAATCGTAAAATAATATAGCTTTATTTTTGAAATGTATCTATGGATTAGTGTATTTAGCTTTTTTATCTTCGAATAATGATCACTACAAAAGTTATGATTGGCACCCCTAATCAATCGTTTGCTAATTCGAATTCTTCTTTAATTTGATAAAAACATGTCAGAATAGTACGTTTAATTTAAGAGCTATTTTGAACAACAAGAGTCTACAAAAACAAACGTTTAGTACTTTTCATTGAAGTTAATTAATATATGGGAAAAAGATTGCTCTAAGATCAAAGAGAAATTTCAGCCAACATTGATTGATGCTAGAAATGTTTTCTATAATTTCTATATCAGTAAACCAACGGCCTATAATCCAGTAATATACAGGCCGACGGTCCATAACTACGTTTAATGCTAGTTATTAACAACAAATGCTATAATTCCCTCTTAAATGCATTCGATACCTGGTGATGACCACTTTTTGAGAACTTACTATAATAGCCACTAACAGTTAGTTGACAGAGTTACAACATGAATGCCTAAACACTCACATCATCAAAGATAAACTGAACATCTTGAGTTTTCATAAATTCGATTAAGACTCACTGACATGAATATTTCCTACGAATATATATAACCGTTTCAAACATCGAATATTTTTTAACGATTACAATATATTAGAACAAGGTCCTAGATAGTCCATCAAGCCAAGTATACTTCCATCAACTAGGGAAGAGCCATAAATTCATAACACGCCAAATAATAAAGATATACTTCTATGGTTACTGACCTCCAACTTAAAACTGTACATGATTGACCATATGCTACTGTTATATATTCAGCAAATAAATGACTATTTGTTGAGTCTAACAATTGGCACATGATTTACTATTTCTTCATAACCGCGCTAAAAGTTAACATTGCTTTTGGGTACGGATGTTTACTCACCCATAATTGTATGCAATCAAATCAGAACAAAGTAATTTCCAATTAATCTTTGACTACATATCTTGTACAATGGAAGTGTAACTTATAGATATAATATGAGAAAAACAAATATCGCAGTAACTTACTTGCTACACGTTGCAAGAGCCATTGCATTAGGTTCAAAAACATTTTCACATTTGATAGCTTCTTCAAACCACGACTTAAACAAAAGTAAAGGATCTTTGTACTTTAAATTTATAATATCGAATATATCATTGGATTTTCTATATGGAACTCGTAAATCTAAAATTACAGACACAATTAGCAGAAGCAAATGCTAGCACTTACGGCTAATTTTCAGTTGGTTGTTCATGGTTGACAGGCTACAGTAGAACGTTCGTAGCATAAAAATCTGGCAACAAATTTATTGCTTCCTATGGAAATGTCTTCAAACCAATAAAAGAAGCTGAAGTGCTAAGATAAGAAAAGCAATGAACTTTTTAACACAAGACATAAAGATACACTTTTTGACAAAATATTGTTTTGAATTTTTCGGTGATTTGGTGTAATCTAATTTAGTAAATTTTGATCCCATCATTTTATTTGGTCCATACTGTTTAAGCGGTAAGAGAAAAGTTGAGAATACATAAGTAGCTATTCGAGTTATAAGATTTAAAGTCCGATTATGCTAACTTATTCTTTTGTATTTGTACGAATTCATCAATTTACGGCTTTATTGCATACTGCTGAAAGGTTAGCCAACCAATAGTAATGAACATCACTACATGGTTCAAAACTTACCTAAGTGCGATTCCGGAGGAGCAAGTGACTAACTACAAAAAAAAATCGTTATAACTCATTACTTTCTCAATTTTGTGCCAGCGATGCTCATTTAATAATCTCATTACATGTAAACAGTCCTTAACGGGTGCTGATAATCAGACATGTGAAGCCTTCTTGTCCACAATTAATTATTATACACAAACAAAGTAACAGGGGTTACAACTGTGTAGCAAAATCATGACTCTGGTGAAAAGTTAAAACTCTCGTCAGAGACCTAGGTGACAAGAGAAAGTTCTAGACGACTTCTATACTTAGAGCATGAGATTATAACTAATCTGCATAAAAAGACGAACAGAGCGGAGAAATGCTAACCTTCAATTAGTGTGTTTTCAAGGCTTTCACTAATATATATATATATATATATATATATATATATATATATATATATATATATATATATATATATATATGATTTGGAACAATGAACTAGAATCAATCGAACTTTAACTTACCCCTTTTTTATTATGTGCCTACATTCATTCTGCTTTTGTGTTTTCGCATAGTTTTGACATTCATTCCTTTACCCTATTGCTGAATCAACGTTTTGTCAAGACATTTTGTTAATCCTCTCATTAAATATGATTAAGGTTGGCATAGTTATTTTTAATTTACATATCCTAGTTACTTTATCACACTTTCAATTGCTTAGAAAATTATTCGACATTACTCCTTTGATCACTCCTAAGAGTATAACACTACAAATAATAATTATTATATTATTGTAAAACACGTCTTAGAGCGGACGAATGATGAGAAAGTAAGAACAAGATTATGTCATACCAAGGACTTTCAGAGTTCATAGGCAGGCTCCAGGCTAGTCAACCAAGATGCAGCTTTCGTGTAAGACCTCTATAATATAGGAAGATGATAGAAGTATGAAGGATGGGACGTTTGAAAACCATTTATGGGCTTCTTGATGCTAAATATAAAAACTTCAGGTTTGATATCACTTTTTGCGGTAAAAGACCCAAAAGTTTAGCTGTACATCTTTGGAAACGTAACTCCCAAACCAAAATTTTGGCGAAAGTGCGACAATTCGGCGGATATTTAGGTGAAAATTCGCAAATCCAGCGGATATTTAGGCGAAAATGCGACAATTCGGGGGATATTTAGGCGATAAGTCGGTAATTTGTCGACAAAACGACGAAAAAGGGGAAAATCCGCATTATTTCCCCCAGACAGGCGAAAAAGGCGACATTCTGATGCGTTTTCCCCTTTCGCTACCAAAGCATTTACCCCTTTATTTCTCCTTTGTTCGCCTTTATTTACTCTTTTGGGGTTGCTTGGGAAACTCCTCGCACATAACTCAGAACCCTAAAACTTTATAATTCGGGCTCCTGATCCTAAAACCACTCGACTCTACATTATAACTACCAAAAAATTCGACCCATTTTGGGGAAGCCGATATAGTCTCGTCCTGACAGTTCACAACGAAATTATTCGGAAACAATCAGTAACAAAGCAAGCATCATATTAAGATAATCTTATGATCAAAAGCGTGAGCTAACAAAATGAAATATCAAAAATACCCCAAGGGCATCCTAAGCGTCGCTTATTTTTCACAGTCTAGTTAAACTTCAACTAGCCGGTTATGTTGAATTGTGGTGTTTTACACTTAGTTTACAGTCACGATGATTTTTAAAGGGCTATGAAGAGGAAAAAGGAACGGAGAAAATGTGAGCTAAATTCGGAAAGCGCGAAACGTGTAATGCTAAGTGATTAACACTTGAAACCGACTATCAGAAATGGTTGCCACGAAGCTACAGAACAACGAGAAGTCAAGTAATAATCATACATGCTCAAAAAGTTCAGAGAGGGGATTTTAAAGCCTACACGCCTTGTCCATCTTGCGGACAATTAAAAAAAATACGCAAAACAAAAGACACAAAAGTACCCAATCCATTCGTATTACTAACAGCGACAGTTTTTTTCTTTCTCCAAAAATGTGTATATAGTTAGGTTGATTTTGCACGTTTACCTGTCTGATCATATTTCTTCTTTTCTCATAATTATGAATTAATGAATTTTTGATTGCTTTCATTCGGTATTTTAAGAACTTTTCCTCTTGCGAAAATAACAAGAAACTCGCAGTTTTTCTTCATTTTAATCGCAGGATGTTATTGTTATACCCTGACGAGAATAACGGACATTAACAGTTGGGATCTATTTATGAACGAATTTATTGTATTTAGAATTTAATATCGGGCACACATCAAATACAAAAGAATCATCAGATCATACGAACACCACAGATGAACAAGAAGACAGCAGTTAACAACAGGGAAATATAGTAAACAAGAAAGACCAGTCAACGACAAAGAAGATAATCCATTCATTAATATTAAAGGACAGAGTAACATCTGGGCTACCTGTTACTGCCATCCAGACATTTCAATAAATCATCTATTTTGTTTGTTTTAGTACATCATGTTGACCATTAATCGCACAACCTATTCAGGCGCGTTTCTGAAATGTGTACAACCTGACGTTTTCTGCCGTGTTAATATGTAGCGAAAAGTATGTACATTATTTCGATGTCGAGTTACAGGACTGCCAACATCTACCGTCAGTATCGACCAAGAAGGAAGAAACGGAAACTTGTTGAAACACTTTGTGCTGAGAATTCTTGATTGTACCAAAAACAAAATATCGGACAAGGCTTATAATAAAAAATAGGAGAGGAATCAATGGTAATGTGTAGGGAAAATTTGGGAGAAAGAACGAGTACTGACAGACTGAGAAAAAGGATATCTCGTCAAAATACCGGAAAAAGGAAATTTCAGCGAATGTGAGAACTACAGAGGCATCAAACCATTGTCAGTACCAGGGAAGGTTTTCAACAGAGTGTTGCTGAACCGGATCAAAAATATAGTAGACGTCTTGTCTCCAGGTCAACAGACGGGACCCCATAACGACCGGTCGTGCACACACCAAATCGTGACACAAAAGATCATCGTTGGACAGTGCAACTCGTCACTATGCACTAACTTTTGTGATTATGAGAAAGCCCTTGACCCTGTGAATAGAAGAACATTTTGCAAACCTCTTCGATACTGTTGTGAGTAACTGGGAAAATCGTCAACGTCATACGAAATTCATACGATGGACTTCACTGCAAAGTCATGGATGAAGGATAGATGACAGAGGCATTTCATGTAAGCACCTGATTCACACAAGGCTTCTTACTCGTCCCCTTCCTCTTTCTTCTTTTGATTGACTGGATTTTGAAGGCCCCGACATCGGAGGGAAAGCACGGAATACAATGGACTGCTCGGAATCAATTAGAAGATCTGGACTTCGTAGATGACCTGATCCTTCCATCCCATACACATCAGCAAGTGCAGGTGAAGACAACTAGTGTAGCAGCAGCTCTGCATCAGTAGAATTCAGCATACACAAGGGAAAAACCAAGATCCTCAAATTCAACACAGAGAACACCAGTCCGATCTCACTTGGTGGAGAAACTCTGAAACAGATGGAATCTTCCGCTTACCTGGTCAGCACGCTAGGGCAAAACAAAGATTCATGGATTCCAATTAACTGCCTATAATCAAATGATATAAAATCGTTCATAGTGACCACAAATTAAATTAGATGCGTACGATTTGTAAAACTAGGGCCGCATTCCTAAAGTTGAGGAACATATGGAACTCAAAACAACTGTTGGCTAATATCAAAGGATCTTTAATACGAACGTCGAAACAGTCTCAATGTACGGAGCTGAAACTTTAAGGACTACTACTGTAGAATTATGGTCTACTTCGTTAATAGTACTGCTTTAATAATAGACTTAATCCTAAAGTTGTAGATTTGTCATGATGTAACTGCCTAATCTATAAGATCTTACTTGGATGTCACATCATTATCTACCCTGACTCATTCGCATTGTAACAATCATTATCATATGACGAAAAACACATTTCGAATAGGTAGGACCACGCCTGCAAAGCCGAGCAACGCTATTTGATCAACTCGAACTAAGTGAATTAATTCTTCCCGCCTTCTCCATTGTTGGGTTTTTCTCCGCGGTAAATGTTGAGTATCTATTTTCTCAGTTGTCTCTTCTTCGGGTTTGGAGATTGTGTATTTAGGGCCCAATAGCACTACACTACAACCATATTGAAAAAATATAAGTATTTACTAATAAATATTTACACAAAATATTGAGTGTCCGTTGACCGATACCATTAGCGACAACCTACTGTGGGAGAGGACTAACCAGCTTTCAAGTGAAGATGAAATTAGAAAGAGAATTTGGAGTTGGATATGACATACACTGAAGAGATCATCAGACTGCATCACGAAGCAAGCGGTAACTTGAAATCCTGAGTGGACACTGTTCAGCGCCTGGTGTAAATCTTCTTATTCGTTGTACGTTTGGCTTCAAGGATCCTGTAGTTAACAGCCAATGTTTCTGCATATCATTTTCTCACTAACAGTATGTGACATGTGCTTTTGGTGAACAGTTATGAAACTTTATACTTTGTGCTTTCTGAGTGACCCTGGCATCACCCTGTGTTTGTCTTCCCGTTCTTATTCTGCAGCCAAAAGAGCATACTCTCCATTAGGGATTCTTTCGAGAAAATTAGTTAACTGAATTTCAGAAACACAAACAGTTCTGGGTCTGTGAACATTTTGAACTGTCCTTATAAATCCTCTGTTGTGGAAAACAAGAAAAGGTAGGGTGCATCAGATGAAAATTTGCCATTTAATAACTTGAAAACTCTAATCAAGGTCATTCTGGTTCTTCAATACGACAGCGGGAATCAGTTTAGCTTGGTCAGTCGAGAATCATGCAGGAGCCTCGTTATTTCGGTAATTAGCTTATCTGAGGTTCTTTGAACCATCTCCAAAAGCTCACGTCAAGTTGTTTAGTGGTCATAGTGTTCAGAGTGTGAGAAGGGGTTTTTATGAACTGGAGTGGAGAGCATCCCTACGGTACGCACATTGCCAAAGTAATATGAGAACACATGAACTTTACCACATTCGCCCCCACTAACGATAAAGTACTACTGTCTCCCTATAGTGCTGGAATTTATTCTCTTCTCTCATTCCTTTGGTTGATGCATAAATACATGCGTTTACGGTATTATTATTATTATTATTATTCACAAACATCTTATAGGTACATAAGTGTTGTGAAGAAACCATTTCGGGTTTCTTCAAAAAATGCAATAATACACTATTTTCAATAATGTCAGCATTATACTTGTCATTTAAAAAAAATTTAGAGCAATAATAGTAGAATATTAATAATAATAAATCGGGTCTGTGTAATTGAGAATATTGAATTGAGTTTAAAGAAGGAAATGAAGAAAATAAGGGAATAGAAATAAAGGAGACGTGAAATACGCAAACAGTCTAATAGGCGTGTTTACGAACACAGAATAAGAATAAACGACTATGTGTGTATCGTTAAATTAGTAACAAAAATAATTAGAAAAAAAACTTATAATTGCAGTAAGATATGACGCTAGAATAAATGTTTGTGCAGTCATAGTTTAGAGTGATGCGATGAAAGTCTCAATTGAGTGGGAAGGATAATAAAATATCAATATGTATGAGTAGTCATTTATGCATAGTGAAGATAAAATGAGTCTAATAAGTTAATTTAAGTGTAACACAAGTTATCGTTTTAATTACAAACTTCGTAATCTTAGGAATAATATTTATTTAGAGGGAAAGAAGAGAGAAAAGAAGTGAACACTTAGTGAAAAGTTTTGATCCATGATAAGAATAATAATTGTGTAATGAATATCAACCTCAGAAGGAAACCAACAATTTAGAAAAACAAAATAAAAATCCGTTAAATCACTTGGATGAATACATTTAGATTTATGTAATAGT